GCATCATGACGCGTGACAGAGTGAAGGAAATGCAACAGTGGTCACTAATATGAAATGCATCAACACTCATATTTTCAATGTTTAGGCCACATGAGAAGACCAAATCTAGCGTGTGACCTTTTATGTGCGTGGGGCCAGAAACGTGCTGTACAAAATTGAAAGAGTCCATGGTCGTTAACAGTTCAGCTGCAATCACACAAGAGGGATCGTCGATATGGAGATTAAAATCCCCAAGGACTAAAACGCGATCTAGTTTGATAATGGATGTTAAAAACTCAGAGAATTCATCAAGGAATGTGCGCGCAGTACCAGGAGGTCGGTAAACTAAGACACAGTAAAAGGGGAGAGTTTGTCCAACCTTGCACATCTGTAGCTCGAAGGAGTCGTATGAAGCTCCATCCATCAAACTGCAGCAGAAAGAGTCACGAAAAACCAGCGCCAGTCCGCCTCCACGGCGCGCGAGGCGAGGACTCCCAAACACGGAGCAGTCCGGGGGGCATAGTTCTCTCAGATGAAGGTGCTCGTTCTCCCGTTGCCAAGTCTCCGTTATGAACATAAAATCCAAGTTCTCTTTAGTGAAGTGGTCGTTCAGTGTAAACGCCTTGTTTGCAATAGAGCGCGCGTTGAGAAGAGCAATCCTGGTGGCGCGCATCCGTGACGCGGGCTGGCCTGGGACGGGCTGGATGGCATGATCCGTCTGGCAGGTAACCGGGCACAAGACGCGCTGGCGGGGGGCATGATGGTAAACAGCTCGGGTGGGAAAGAGCCGGTCGGAGGTGCTCCACACGAGCGATGACACACAAGCCGCGTCCCGAACTGGCGCGCAGACCGGAACCGGCCTCAGGCACCGCTCACTCCTGGGAGATTTGGGTCCGTTCAGCCCGGGTGAAGATCCAAGCGATGACCACCTTCTCCTCCGGACTTGGACCCCAGCCCTGGATCCACGCTTCCTTCTCCTTCCGCGGCGCCGGGTAAGCAACGGGTATTCCGGTGGTGACGCATGGCGCTCCAGTTTTGGAGGGAAAAACTCAGAGAATCTGTGCCGGGTAATGCAAAAGTCCTGCATATGAGCCTTAATGCGGAACAATGTGTGCCGATCATACTGTATGATGGCGGAAACATAGCTGGTAGTTGATAGGGTTGACACAAGGAACATCACAAGAAAGATTGCAAATGTACGAGAGAGCAGACAGGTAAGCGACGCGCAGCCAGACACAGGCGCCATCTTTACTCACAGTATTGAAACATTACATCAGAATAAGAGAAAAACTTCCATAACTGATCATTCTGGTCATTTCTCCACATGGAAACTCGTATACTACAGCCAAGTGGCTCTATTTTTTCCTCATTAATCAGATCATTATTATTCTATATATAGAATCCATCAGTTTAAATACTCGGCTTTTTCCTGTTTAAATTAATTGTACCCTTTTTCCCGCCCCCCGGGGGATATAGAAGGTTTTATTATCCTGTTCTGACCCTAAAGCTGTCCCTATTTCTCTAATTCTCTTATACACTTGTGCCTCTCTACACTTTTAAACCCTGTGGACCTCTCATCTATGTTCTGTTTTATTTTAGAAGGGACCTATTCTTCCCCCAAGGCTAAAAACGTCTAAACCTGACTATTGTTCTATCGCGTCCGATAGAACGCCCATCACGGCGGTCTTGTCCACGCTGCAATCTGGTGTTGGGCCGAGATCTCTCTGTCTTCTATTAAAAACAATGTGCAGATTCTCAAAAATATGATCAGCTTACCTTATAGAAGTGTTTTGCAGAGTAGAGAGTCCGTAAAACCCACACCAACCCAGTTTTTCTCTATCTGAGCTCATCTCTGTCCTGCTCCTGCACCAATCACGTCGGGGGTCTCCAAATTAAGTCAAAAATTCCCTTGACAGACGTGTTCAAAAGTTGATGCAGAAGTAAGACAAAGATGCAAGAGTTAAAAATAGAACATTTAATTTTCTTTACAATTAAATATCGATACAAAACCCTTGGAGCCATTAATTCTCTAAAACTAACCCTATGCTGAGCCATCCTAAACTTTCCCTCCAGGCCTGAAAATGTGCAGAGAACATGCAGGCGCTCTGACATGTTCTCTGTCTCTATCCCTGCTCTTTCCCCTCAGACTGTCCTACCCCCGGTTTTATCAACATGTCCGATGACGTCACATGGTCTGAGACTGGATTCCGGGTCTGGTCTCTGGTCTGGGTTTTGGTCTTGGTTTTGGTCTTCCATATCAGCTTTAGCAAACAATGGCCCCCACCACTGAGCATTTGTTTATTCTTGGAGTCAATGATTGTCTGGTTTTGTAAGCTGGTCATCTTTATGATTCCTGAGTGCATATTCCTTTGTCTGATGTGCAGCATTTTGTGAATATTCGTCAATGGAGTGAATGAATAATGACACATGTGAAGCGTCTTTGAGTGTCCAGAAAAGCGCTATATAAAACCGATGCATTATTATTATAATCCAATCAATTTATTTATGTAGCACATTGTATAAAACACGTTTCCAAAGTGCTGCACAGATAAAAGTAACAGATTAAAATATAAAAGTCTGCTTTAAATAAAAATAATGAAAATAAAGTAAAGAACAATTAAAATAAAGCAATTAACTATAGACATCTCTCTGGTCTCTCTCTGGTCTCTCTCATTGGTCTCTCTCTGGTCTCTCTCATTGGTCTCTCTCTGGTCTCTCTCTGGTCTCTCTCTGGTCTCTCTCTGGTCTCTCTCTGGTCTCTCTCTGGTCTCTCTCTGGCCTCTCTCTGGTCTCTCTCCGGTCTCTCTCCGGTCTCTCTCTCTGGTCTCTCTCTGGTCTCTCTCTGGTCTCTCTCTGGTCTCTCTCTGGTCTCTCTCTGGTCTCTCTCTGGTCTCTCTCTCTGGTCTCTCTCTGGTCTCTCTCTGGTCTCTCTCTGGTCTCTCTCTGGCCTCTCTCTGGTCTCTCTCCGGTCTCTCTCCGGTCTCTCTCTCTGGTCTCTCTCTGGTCTCTCTCTGGTCTCTCTCTGGTCTCTCTCTGGTCTCTCTCTGGTCTCTCTCTCTGGTCTCTCTCTGGTCTCTCTCTGGTCTCTCTCTGGTCTCTCTCTGGTCTCTCTCTGGTCTCTCTCTGGTCTCTCTCTGGTCTCTCTCTGGTCTCTCCCTGGTCTCTCTCTCTGGTCTCTCTCTGGCCTCTCTCTGGTCTCTCTCTGGTCTCTCTCTAGTCTCTCTCTGGTCTCTCTCTGGTCTCTCTCTGGCCTCTCTCTGGTCTCTCTCCGGTCTCTCTCCGGTCTCTCTCTCTGGTCTCTCTCTGGTCTCTCTCTGGTCTCTCTCTGGTCTCTCTCTGGTCTCTCTCTGGTCTCTCTCTCTGGTCTCTCTCTGGTCTCTCTCTGGTCTCTCTCTGGTCTCTCTCTCTGGTCTCTCTCTCTGGTCTCTCTCTGGCCTCTCTCTGGTCTCTCTCTGGTCTCTCTCTGGTCTCTCTCTGGTCTCTCTCTGGCCTCTCTCTGGCCTCTCTCTGGTCTCTCTCTGGTCTCTCTCTGGTCTCTCCCTGGTCTCTCTCTCTGGTCTCTCTCTCTGGTCTCTCTCTGGTCTCTCTCTGGTCTCTCTCTGAGGTCTCTCTGGTCTCTCTCTCTGGTCTCTCTCTGGTCTCTCTCTGCTCTCTCTCTGGTCTCTCTCTGGTCTCTCTCTGGTCTCTCTCTCTGGTCTCTCTCTGGTCTCTCTCTGGTCTCTCTCTGGTCTCTCTCTGGTCTCTCTCTGGTCTCTCTCTGGTCTCTCTCTGGTCTCTCTCTCTGGTCTCTCTCTCTGGTCTCTCTCTGGTCTCTCTCTGGTCTCTCTCTCTGGTCTCTCTCTGGTCTCTCTCTGGTCTCTCTCTGGTCTCTCTCTGGTCTCTCTCTGGTCTCTCTCTGGTCAGGGTAATAACGTCAGTGAGACCCATTTATTCTTAAAGGAACAATAATGAAGTATTTCTGGTCGTCCTGTCGAACCATCAATCAATCTACTTTTATTTGTATAGTGCCTTTCCTACACACGGCAACACAAAGCACCGCACAACACACATCAGGCACACATCATAGTCAGATCTACAGAACATTAAACACTTACAATCCCAAAGGGCATTAAACACACAATGGGATCACAAGAACATTTAAAACATCAAAATAAAATCACACAAGTTTTTAAAATCATTAAAATCACAGGTTATTAAGAACATTAAAGTTATTAAAAACATTAAAACATTAAAATCATAAATGTAGCCAAAGTGCACCTAAAATAAGGTTTCTTTTCAAAGTTTTAATTTCCTGGCTCTAGTCTGGACTAATGTGGTCGTACTTCCTGGTTCTAGTCTGGACTAATGTGGTCATACTTCCTGGTTCTAGTCTGGACTAATGTGGTCATACTTCCTGGTTCTAGTCTGGACTAATGTGGTCATACTTCCTGGTTCTAGTCTGGACTAATATGGTCATACTTCCTGGTTCTAGTCAGGACTAATATGGTCATACTTCCTGGTTCTAGTCAGGACTAATATGGTCATACTTCCTGGTTCTAGTCAGGACTAATATGGTCATACTTCCTGGTTCTAGTCAGGACTAATATGGTCATACTTCCTGTGAGCAGCCATTGCAGAAGTGAAGCTAAATGTTCACCTTTAAATAAGAATAAAGTTTTTCCAACAATGATCCGTGGCAAAGAGCCCCATGTCCTCGATCCTATGTCCATCTGAATCCAGTCGTTTTGTTTCCTCTGGAGAATGAAAGAGAAAGATCGCTCTCCAACTAAAGCTCGAGCGAATCAATGAAAAAACTACTAGAACTGTGATGATGTTTTAAGCAGAGAAAGGTCCAAAAGTGGAATATGGGACCTTTAAGGCTTATGGGGAATATGTTATAAGTGCCACAAGTTCCTGATTGAAGCTAAAGGTGACGGACCATAAACAGGGACCATCGACAGAGTGTGACATCACCATCGACACCATCAATGTACAGATATATTGATATTTACTTTCTGCTTTTATGAAGACATTACAGCGAGTTAAGAGGAAGTATTGTATTGTCCAGCAGGGGGCGCTCTCCTCAGATCCACCACAGACACAGAGGAACCTTCATCCCTCAGTCCAGCAGGGGGCGCTCTCCTCAGATCCACCACAGACACAGAGGAACGTTCATGCTCCAGTCCAAACCCAGGAAACACAGGCTCAGAGAAGGAGGAGGTGAAGGTGTGGAGGTGGAACAGTTCTCCATCAGAGACGACCTCATAGAAGGACAGAGATCCAGCCTCAGAGTCCAGGAACACAGACACTCGACCTGAGAGAGAGGAGGAGGAGGAGGAGGAGGAGGAGGAGGAGGAGGAGGAGGAGGCTGTTTGTCTGTTGTTGTGATATAAATAGTAAACTCCCCCACAGACCCTCAGACTCCAGGACTGATCATTGGTTCCAAACCCACTCTCTTCTCCCGTCCCTCTGCGTCTGATTCCTCTGTGACTCACTGCGATCTCAATGTCCCTCCCCCCCCTCCAGCTCCTCATGGTCCAGTCCACCTCCCAGTAACAGCGCCCCCTCAGGCCAGTGCTGCTCAGGACCTGTGGCTGGTCTGTAAATCTGTCCTGATGCCCTGGACACTGCTGCTCCTCTGTCCCTCTGGTCACTGTCCGTTTGTCCTCAGACAGTTTGAGGATTCTGTGAGCCGAGTTTGGATCCAGAGAAAACTCACAGGAATCTGAGGAAAAACACAAAACAAGAAGAAACATCAGCTCCAGACGCTTTAACCACAGAGTAAAGATAACTTTATATAAATAACTTTATATAAATAACTTTTATATAAATAACTTTATATAAATAACTTTTATATAAATAACTTTTATATAAATAACTTTATATAAATAACTTTATATAAATAACTTTATATAAATAACTTTATATAAATAACTTTATATAAATAACTTTATATAAATAAATTTATATTAATAACTTTATATAAATAACTTTTATATAAAGTGAATGAGAAACTCACACTTCCTCAGACCTGGAACCATCCACTGTTCTCCAGCAGGATCCAACCTGCAACACACAAGGCACTTTAGACCAGGACCAGGACCAGGACCAGGACCAGGACCAGGACCAGGACCAGGGACCAGGACCAGGACCAGGACCAGGACCAGGACCAGGACCAGGACCAAGACCAGGACCAGGACCAGGACCAGAGACCAGGACCAGAGACCAGGACCAGAGACCAGGACCAGGACCAGGACCAGGATCAGAGACCAAGATCTAGACCAGAGACCAGGACCAGGACAAGAGACAAAAGACCTGGACTAAGGCCTAGACCAGGATCAAGACCAGGACCAGAGACCAAGACCAGGACCAGGACTAAGGCCTAGACCAGGACCAGAGACCAAGACCAGGACCAGGGACCAAGACCTGGACCAGAGACCAAGATCAGAGACCAGGAGCAGGACCAGGACCAGGACCAGAGAGTGAGACCAGGACCTGGACCAGGACCTGGACCAGGACCAGGACCAGGACCAGAGACCAGGACCTGGACCAGGACCAGGAAAAAGACCAGGACCAGGACCAGGACCAGGACCAGGACCAGGACCAGGACCAGGACCAGGACCAGAGACCAGAGACCAGGACCAGGACCAGGACCAGAGACCAGGACCAGGACCAGGACCAGGACCAGGACCAGGAGACCAGACCAGAGACCAGGAACAGAGACCAGGAACAGAGACCAGGAACCAGAGACCAGGACCAGGACCAGGACCAGAGACCAGATCAGGACCAGAGACCAAGACATGGACCAGGACCAGAGACCAGAGACCAGGACCAGGACAAGAGACCAAGACCTGGACTAAGGCCTAGACCAGGATCAAGACCAGGACCAGAGACCAGGACCAGAGACCAGAGACCAGAGACCAGACCAGACCAGAGACCAGGACCAGGAACAGAGACCAGGACCAGGATCAGCACCAGAGACCAAGACCAGGACCAGGACAGGACCAGGACCAGGCACCAGGACCAGGACCAGGATCAGGACAGGACCAGAGACCAAGACCAGGACAAGGACCAGGACCAGCGACCAGGAACAGAGACCAGGACCAGGAACAGAGACCAGGACCAGGACCAGAGACCAGGAACAGGACCAAGATCAGGACCAGGACCAGGATTGAGATCAGGATCAGGACCAAGATCAGGACCAGGACCAGGATCAAGTCCAAGACCAAGACCAAGACCAGAGACCAGGACCAGGACTAGGACCTGGACCAGAGACCAAGATCTAGACCAGAGACCAAGACATGGACCAAGACCTAGACCAGCACCAGGATCAAGTCCAAGTCCAAGACCAAGACCAAGACCAGCGACCAGGACCAGGACCAGGACCAGGACTAGGACCTGGACCAGAGACCAAGATCTAGACCAGAGACCAAGACATGGACCAAGACCAGGACCAAGACCAAGACCAGAGACCAAGATCTAGACCAGAGACCAGGACCAGGACCTGGACCTGGACCTGGACCAGGACAAGAGACCAAGACCTGGACTAAGGCCTAGACCAGGATCAAGACCAGGACCAGCACCAGGATCAAGTCCAAGACCAAGACCAAGACCAGAGACCAGGACCAGGACCAGAGACCAAGATCTAGACCAGAGACCAGGACCAGGACAAGAGACCAAGACCTGGACTAAGGCCTAGACCAGGATCAAGACCAGGACCAGAGACCAAGACCAGGACCAGGACTAAGGCCTAGACCAGGACCAGAGACCAAGACCAGGACCAGGGACCAAGACCTGGACCAGAGACCAAGATCAGAGACCAGGAGCAGGACCAGGACCAGGACCAGAGACCAGAGACCAGGACCAGGACCTGGACCAGGACCAAGACCAGGACCAGAGACCAGGACCTGGACTAGGACCAGGATCTCGACCAGGACCAGGACCTGGACCAGAGACCAGGAGAAGGACCAGGACCAGAGATCAGAGACCGAGACCAGGACCAGAGACCAAGATCCAGACCAGAGACCAGGACCAGGACCAAGACCAGGACCAGGACCAGGACCAGGACCAGGACCAAGACCAGGACCAAGACCAGGACCAGAGACCAAGACCAGGACCTGGAGAAGAACCAGAACCAGCACCTGGAGCAGAAACCAAGACCTGGACCTGGACCAACACCAGAAAAGGACCAGAGACCAGGACAAGAAGCCAGGACCAGGACCAGTGACAAGGACCAGAGACGAATACCTGGACCAGGACCAGAGACCAAGACCTAGACCAGGTCAGTTCAGAGTCAGACCTGAGTTCCTGCAGGGGGCAGTGTGGGTCGTCCTGTAGAGCCTTCAGCAGCTCTGATGAACCTCCTGGATGGTTGTAGCTCAGGTCCAACTCTCTCAGATGGGAGGGGGCGGGGCTTAGAGCTGAGGCCAGAGCAGCCCCGCCCCTCTCTGAGATCAGACATCCAGACAGCCTAAAGACACACAGCGTTACACTCATGTGGACACAGAGGACACAGATGCATCATGGGAGTCTCACCTGAGAGTGTGCAGTCCACAGGGGGCGCTCTTCAGTCCAGAACACAGCAGCTCCACTCCTGAGTCCTGGAGGTCGTTGTTACTCAGATCCAGGTGTGTGAGACTGGAGGAGCTGAGGACTGAGGCCAGAGGACCACAGCTGTGAGGGGACAGTCCACTGTCCCTCAACCTGAGGACAGAGACACATTAGAGACTAGACCCTCCACAGAAGACCTTCAACACAGTCTGGACTCACAGGACTTTGGTGGAGGCTCTGACCACCGGCAGCAGACCCAGGAGAGCTGTCTCTGAGGCCCGGTATTTCCTCAGGTCAAAGTCCTGCAGGTCTGAGTCTGAGGACAGTAAGACGAAGGACAGAGTCGACCAATGGGCAGGAGAACTTATCCTGGAGAGTGCTCTTTCTCTCATGTACGTCTGTATCTGCTGCACCAGACTGAGGTCGTTCAGCTCCATCAGACAGTGCAGCAGGTTCATGCTTCTCTCTGCAGACAGACCCTTTTCATTCAGCCTCAGTTTGATGTACTGTACTCCCTCCTGATTGGTCCCTGAGCCACCGCCTGTCTGAGTCAGACCTGACAGCAGCCTCTGATTGGTCGGCAGAGACAGCCCCAGGAGGAAGCGCAGGAACAGGTCCAGGTGTCCGTTTGGACTCTGTAAGGCCTGGTCCACAGCACAGCGGTGTAGAACACCTAAGTTATTCTTTTTAAACAGCTGTTTGAAGAAATGGGTTTGTTCGACCTTCAGCAGGTTCTGTCCAGAGCTGTAGAAGGTCTGATGGACGTGAAGAGCAGCCAGAAACTCCTGCACACTCAGATGGATGAAGCAGTAGACCTTGTCCTGGTACAGGCCTGGCTCCTCTCTAAAGACCTGTGTGAAGACTCCGGAGTACACTGAGGCGGCTGCAGCGTCCAGCCCACACTCGCTCAGGTCACAGTCGTAGAAGATCAGGTTTCCTCTCTGCAGCTGCTCAAAGGCCAGTTTTCCCAGAGACGTCACCATCTCCCTGGTCTGTGGAGTCCAGGGAAGCTCCGCCCCTGATCCCTGCTGATACTTGATGTTGTGGACTTTGGCCTGCACCACCAGGAAGTGTGTGTACATCTGTGTGAGGGTCCGGGGCAGCTCTGGTTCCTCTGTTTGTTCCAGAAGCTTCTGTAGAACTGTGGAGAGGATCCAGCAGAAGACTGGGATGTGGCACATGATGTGGAGGCTGCGGACGCTCTTGATGTGGGAGATGATCGCTGTGGCCTGTCGCTCGTCTCTGAACCTCTTCCTGAAGTACTGCTCCTTCTGCGGGTCGGTGAAGCCTCGGACCTCTGTCACCATGGAGACGCACTCTGCAGGGATCTGATTGGCCGCCGCTGGGCGTGTGGTGATCCAGAGGCGAGCGGAGGGAAGCAGGCTTCCTCTGATGAGGTTCACCAGCAGCAGGTCCAGAGAGACGGACTCTGTGGGGTCTGAGAGGACACGAGAGCTGCTGAAGTCCAGAGGAAGTCTGCACTCGTCCAGACCGTCAAAGATGAGGAGCACCTGGAGGTCTTCAAAGCTGCAGAGACCTTTGGATGGACTGAAGAAGTGCTGTATGAGTCCCACCAGGCTGAAGCTTCTGTCCTTCACAACATTGAGCTCTCTGAAGGAGAAGGGGAACAGCAGCTGGAGGTCCTGATGAGCTCTGCCTTCAGCCCAGTCCAGACTAAACTTCTGAGTCAGCACAGTCTTCCCCACGCCGGCCACGCCCTTCGTCAGCAGCGCTCTGATTGGCTGTGGTGAGTGTGGGCGGGGCTTAAACATGTCTTCACAGGTGATGGGGGTCTCTGGAGCGGCTGGTCTCCTGGACGCGCTCTCCATCAGTCTGACCTCATGTTCCTGGTTGACCTCTGAGGCCCCGCCCTCTGTGATGTAGAGCTCTGTGTAGATCTGGGTCAGGGGGGCGGAGTCTCCTGCTTTAGCCACGCCCTCAAACACACGGCTGAACTTCTGCTGCAGCTGCTTCTTCAGTTCATCTCTACAAACTCCAACAGTGCTTCCTGAATAAAGACAAACAGCTGTGACCATGTGACCACTGAACTGACCCCGCCTCCATTAGCGTTAGCCAAAGATGCTAACAAACAAGGCTAACAGCTAACATTTCACCAAGTGAATTATACTTGTCAAATATAGATACTTTGATTATAACATAACAAGTGAATTCTGTCGATTCTGATCTTTAAAATGAGGGAGAACATGTGGGCGGAGCTTAAGTTAACACCATGTGTTTGTGGCTGAGTCGGTAACTTCCATGATCCAAAAGAATGTTCTGATTTGGGTGAAATCTGGGCCCATTACTGATGTGTGGTGAGTGTTCAGAGCCTGAGAGCCAGAAATGTGTGTGTCTCTAGTAAACACATGTTGTGTTGCTACAGACACAGAGAGTTCTTACTGCTCTGCAGGCGCTGGACCAGCTGCTCCTGCTTCATCCTCCTCAGGAAGTCCAGGGCGATCTTCAGAACCTCTCTGCTCTCCTCCTCACTCTCAGAGCATTCTGGGTAATCTGATGCCAGGAGCCTTTGGATCCTCTGCATCTGCTCTTTGACAAAAGTCACCACGTCCTCCTGCAGACGCTGGAACAGAACAATAAGAGTTCACAGAGAGACGCTGAGGAGCAGCCAGAGAAGGCCACACAAGCTGCGGTGGTGGACACTCACCCTCAAGATGGCGTCCAGCGGCTCCTTTGGACCTGGATCCCTGTGAAACACACTCAGCATTTATTTAGTGTGCACAATAGAAGAACAGAGACTCAAACAGGAGAGAAAAGGACTGTTTCTATAAAGAGCTTCTACACAGCACTAAACCTGGGACTCCCAGCTTCAGCACCAGAGACACCAGACATTTTGCCACAGATGAAGTTGTACGTTTGTGGTGACTCTGAAGTGTTGCCTTCTGGCTCTACAGGCCCTGGGCTTCTTCACCTCATCATCATCACTTTCTCCTGTTGCATTGTGGTCTTGGTGTCAACATGTGTTGATAAAAAGTGCCCTAACAAATGTGAGTGAGCTTCAACAGATCTGTCAGAAAGCTCTTTGGCCACGTTCACACGGAGCTGATCTCAGATCTGCAAATATATTCTGTCTCATTCAGTCTTCCACATGAAGCCAATCCAGGCTCTGAAAGCGGCTCCAGAGAGAAGGCTTTGAAACCAGCGTCTGCAACTGTTCCATCTGATCCACAACAAACACATTTATCTTTACTGCAGGGTCCTCCACTGCTCCAGCCTCAGGTCCTGAAGGAAACACATCCTCCACAGAGATGTTTGTCCCTGTGAAGAAGGACTCAGAAGCTTCTCTTTCCCTCAGTGTGAAGACCCGCTCCTGCTGTCTTCAGTAGATTCTACATTCATGCTTTAAGGCCAGTGATTGTTTGTAAAGACTGTCTCAGTGCTGTAGCGTGGCTTGTACACCAGAGGGCGCCAGAGACCAGTTGAGTCTGCACTGATGGTGACTGAACAAAATGTGCCACAGAAACCAAAGTCACGGTCTCAAAATCACTGGACTTAAAACTACACAAAGATTATCAAAATAAACAATAAACAATAAACACACAACAAAGTGTCACAAACACACAAACAACCAATACTCTCTCACACAACTGGGTTCACACAACTAAGCCACACAACTAAGCCACACAACTAAGACACACAACTGAGCCACACAACTAAGACACACAACTAAGCCACAAAACTAAGACACACAACTAAGACACACAACTAAGCCACACAACTAAGACACACAACTGAGCCACACAACTAAGACACACAACTAAGCCACAAAACTAAGCCACACAACTAAGACACACAACTAAGCCACACAACTAAGACACAACTAAGACACACAACTAAGACACACAACTAAGACACACAACTAAGACACACAACTAAGCCACAAAACTAAGCCACACAACTAAGACACACAACTAAGACACACAACTAAGCCACACAACTAAGACACACAACTGAGCCACACAACTAAGACACACAACTAAGCCACAAAACTAAGACACACAACTAAGACACACAACTAAGACACACAACTAAGCCACACAACTAAGACACACAACTAAGACACACAACTAAGACACACAACTAAGACACACAACTAAGACACACAACTAAGACACACAACTAAGCCACAAAACTAAGCCACAAAACTAAGACACACAACTAAGACACACAACTAAGACACAAAACTAAGACACACAACTAAGCCACAAAACTAAGCCACAAAACTAAGACACACAACTAAGACACACAACTAAGCCACACAACTAAGACATACAACTAAGCCACAAAACTAAGGCACACAACTAAGACACACAAATAAGCCACAAAACTAAGACACACAACTAAGACACACAACTAAGCCACACAACTAAGACACACAACTGAGCCACACAACTAAGACACACAACTAAGCCACAAAACTAAGACACACAACTAAGACACACAACTAAGACACAAAACTAAGACACACAACTAAGCCACACAACTAAGACACAAAACTAAGACACACAACTAAGCCACACAACTAAGACACACAACTAAGCCACACAACTAAGACACACAACTAAGACAATAAACCACGGGGAGTTATCATGAAGTTTTGAAGAAAAATGGGGGCAGAGTTTACAGCAAGAGACACTTCTGCCTCTACTGTTCAATGTCCTGCCACAAAATGTCCCGTCATTTGACTAGAAAACATGGAAATGAAAGTGACGTAGCCAGAGCATTGGCTCTACCTGTGAAATCTAAAGCACGTAAACTTCAGTTTGATTTGATCAGGAATAGTGGAAACCGTGAGCACAATGTTGAGGTTTTAAAGGCCAGCATTGGAACTTTAGTCCCAGCTAAACAGCCAAATTCCCCAGTTAAATCCAGTGAGTTTTTGCACTGTATAGACTGTGGGGCATTGCTTAAGCGAAAGTAGCTGTGGAGGCATGTGGCCAGGTGCCGGCTTTCACAGAAAGATGCCCAGGCTAAACCAGGCTAAACCAGGTAGAAGTAGGGTCCAGTCCCTCTGCTCCCTAGCCCAGCCTGTCCGGAGGGCATCAGCAAAAAGCTGTGCTCTTTAATTTGGGCAATGCATCAGGATGAGGTCACGGGTGTTGTCAAAGCAGAAAAGGGGATTCTGAGACTCGGAGAGCACCTGTACTTAAAACACGGGCATGATAAGACTAAGCATGATTACATTAGGCAGAAAATGAGAGAAGTCGGTAGGTTAATTAACGAAGCAAAAACCGCAGGGAAACTGAAAACAATGAAGGATTTCTTTATTCCTTCCAACTTTAACCATGTGATTGATGCAGTCAGGTCTGTGGCTGGATATGATGAGGAAACAAATCAATACAAGACTCCATCCTTGGCCCTCAAACTCGGCCATAGCCTCAGAAAGCAGATATTCTTGAATGTGACTCAAAAATGGAGCATTGTGTTGATGAACTATTTATTAAAAACCTCCAACGAAGCCGGCTGCTTTTTGAGAAGAGGTGGGACGTCTGTGTTTCTTCTGCTGCCCTACAGACCCTCCGGCAAGCCAAGTGGAACACTCCGGACCTGCTCCCTCTGACTGAGGACGTTAGAGCCATGCATGCACATATTGAGGTATGTCGACCTGAATATGTGCAAACCCTAATAAGTGAGCCAACGTCTAAGCATTGGTCTAAACTGGCAGTTTTGACTCTTTGTGAGGTCATTATTTTCAATCGAAGAAGGGAAGGTGAGGTTTCAAAGATGCCACTGACAGCGTTTACCTTAAGAAGTAAGACTGGGATCCATTCTGACATTGCTCTGGGACTGTCCCAACTTGAGAAAAAGCTGTGTCAGCATTTTCAACGCATTGAAATTAAAGGGAAAAGAAGTGGGAAAGTGGTGGTTCTTTTGACTCCTGAAATGATTGCTTGGATGGAGGTGCTGGTGGAGAACAGAAGGGCCTGTTCCATCTCTGACCATAACCCATACTTCTTCTCCCGCCCGGGCGCAGACACCCACATCAGGGGATCAGACTCCCTACGGCAGGTAGCCAAAGAATGTGGTGCGGTGCATCCAGAGATGCTATCCTCAACCAAACTTAGAAAGCACATAGCTACTATGTCTACAGTTCTCAATATGAAAGAGAATGAGATGGACATACTAGCCAACTTCCTCGGCCATGACATTCGCATCCACAGACAATATTACAGACTACCAGAGGGGGCGCTGGAGCTGGCCAAAATCAGCAAAGTGTTAATGGCCATGGAGCAGGGAAGAGTGACGGAATTCGAAGGAAAGAGCCTCGACCAGATACAAATTGAGCCTGAAGGTAATTCTTGATATTATTAAAATATGTATAATTTTTTTCCCCTAAAGGCCACTTGTATTTTTATTTTCTGTGCGACAGGGAGAGCAGTAGAGATCCTCTCACAAACGGACGGGCTAAAAGAAACTTCAAGCGGAGAACCTTCAACCATTCATCCAGATGCACCCCATGGTAGTGGCAGTGCCCCTTCTGGTAAGTGTACCAGGTGGGGGATTACAGCCAGGCTGCTTGGTCCTAACCCTGGGAGTGTATATTGCTAATATATTTTTATTTCTCTCCCTAGAACGTTAGAGAAAGCCATGGTCTGCATCTGAGGTGAAGGCTGTGGAGAAGACCATGACGCCTTTCATACAGACTGGAAAAGTCCCAGGGAAGTCTCACTGCCTGGCCTGGCCTGGCCTGGCCTGCATTAATGCCTCACCAGATGACCTTAGACATCGGACATGGAGTGGCATTAAATTCTATGTCAAAAATAGAATCACTGCAATTCGAAAAAAAAATCAAAAATAAAATTCCTTTAAAAGAGTTGTTTGTTTTCTATTGACTGTTTTGTATTACTTAAAGTAGTCCCAGTAAAAAAGATTATGTCTATGGGTCCCATTCTGAACGGCCCTGTCAAAGGGACCCACCAGGTAACAAAAACGTGTGTGTGTGTCTGTATGTGTGTGTGTGTTCTCTAGCTCCGTTGCTCTCCTCACTGTACCTCTTAATTTCTCTTTCTACCCCTGCTCTTCTCATCTCTCTCTCTAATGGTGCTTTCAGACCTGATCTGTTATGGTATTGAGCTCCCTGTGAGCTCCTCACCCCCTCCCTCCTGTTCCTGTGGGCGTGGCCACTCCTGCTCTCTGTTCCTGGCTGGCCTGCACACCTGCCTCTCATCACACATGACCTCTGCATTTAAGCCTGGGCATTTGTTCAGTCCTCTGCCAGTTCGTCAGTCTACACCGTGAGACTACACCTCGGGCCTTTTGCTATTTTTGTGCTAGTTTCTGAGTCCCTCGTTTGATCTTGTTTTTTGTATACTCACAGATCCTCGAGCCAGTTGACAGCCTCCTCAGCAGTATCTCTTCTGCCATTCTGCTCCAGCGCCTAAGCCAGTTCCAGTACCTGCTCCACCTTCATTAAACTCTGCCAATAAATCCTGTTAACCGTCCTATGCTTTTGGGTTCAATCCTTTCGCCAAAACAGGATCATGCGTTGCATCGGCTTTCGATGCAAAGTTTATGGTGACGAGCGTCCGAGCGTCACAACGCACGGACGTCTCGGCACGCACGGACGGACTGTTCAGTAGACACGCACGGACGGACTGTTCAGTAGACACGCACGGACAGACTGTTCAGTAGACACGCACGGACGGACTGTTCAGTAGACACGCACGGACGGACTGTTCAGTAGACACGCACGGACGGACTGTTCAGTAGACACGCACGGACGGACTGTTCAGTAGACACGCACGGACGGACTGTTCAGTAGACACGCACGGACGGACTGTTCAGTAGACACGCACGGACAGACTGTTCAGTAGACACGCACGGACGGACTGTTCAGTAGACACGCACGGACAGACTGTTCAGTAGACACGCACGGACGGACTGTTCAGTAGACACGCACGGACAGACTGTTCAGTAGACACGCACGGACAGACTGTTCAGTAGACACGCACGGACAGACTGTTCAGTAGACACGCACGGACGGACTGTTCAGTAGACACGCACGGACGGACTGTTCAGTAGACACGCACGGACAGACTGTTCAGTAGACACGCACGGACGGACTGTTCAGTAGACACGCACGGACGGACTGTTCAGTAGACACGCACGGACAGACTGTTCAGTAGACACGCACGGACGGACTGTTCAGTAGACACGCACGGACAGACTGTTCAGTAGACACGCACGGACGGACTGTTCAGTAGACACGCACGGACGGACTGTTCAGTAGACACGCACGGACTTGGCGGGAAAGTCAAAGGGGAGGAGCAGGAGCGAAAAATATAAAGTCACCGTGAACACATACTGCTGTTATATAAAGTCACCTCCGTGAACACATACTGCTGTTATATAAAGTCACCTCCGTGAACACATACTACTGTTATATAAAGTCACCTCCGTGAACACATACTGCTGTTATATAAAGTCACCTCCATGAACACATACTGCTGTTATATAAAGTCACCTCCGTGAACACATACTGCTGTTATATAAAGTCACCTCCGTGAACACATACTGCTGTTATATAAAGTCACCTCCGTGAACACATACTGCTGTTATATAAAGTCACCTCCGTGAACACATACTGCTGTTATATAAAGTCACCTCCGTGAACACATACTGCTGTTATATAAAGTCACCTCCGTGAACACATACTGCTGTTATATAAAGTCACCTCCGTGAACACATACTGCTGTTATATAAAGTCACCTCCGTGAACACATACTGCTGTTATATAAAGTCACCTCCGTGAACACATACTGCTGTTATATAAAGTCACCTACGTGAACACATACTGCTGTTATATAAAGTCACCTCCGTGAACACATACTGCTGTTATATAAAGTCACCTCCGTGAACACATACTGCTGTTATATAAAGTCACCTCCGTGAACACATACTGCTGTTATATAAAGTCACCTCCGTGAACACATACTGCTGTTATATAAAGTCACCTCCGTGAACACATACTGCTGTTATATAAAGTCACCTCCGTGAACACATACTGCTGTTATATAAAGTCACCTCCGTGAACACATACTGCTGTTATATAAAGTCACCTCCGTGAACACATACTACTGTTATATAAAAGTCACCTCCGTGAACACATACTGCTGTTATATAAAGTCACCTCCGTGAACACATACTGCTGTTATATAAAGTCACCTCCGTGAACACATACTGCTGTTATATAAAGTCACCTCCGTGAACACATACTGCTGTTATATAAAGTCACCTCCGTGAACACATACTGCTGTTATATAAAGTCACCTCCGTGAACACATACTGCTGTTATATAAAGTCACCTCCGTGAACACATACTGCTGTTATATAAAGTCACCTCCGTGAACACATACTGCTGTTATATAAAGTCACCTCCGTGAACACATACTGCTGTTATATAAAGTCACCTCCGTGAACACATACTGCTGTTATATAAAGTCACCTCCGTGAACACATACTGCTGTTATATAAAGTCACCTCCGTGAACACATACTGCTGTTATATAAAGTCACCTCCGTGAACACATACTGCTGTTATATAAAGTCACCTCCGTGAACACATACTGCTGTTATATAAAGTCACCTCCGTGAACACATACTGCTGTTATATAAAGTCACCTCTGTGAACACATACTGCTGTTATATAAAGTCACCTCCGTGAAACACATACTGCTGTTATATAAAGTCACCTCCGTGAACACATACTGCTGTTATATAAAGTCACCTCCGTGAACACATACTGCTGTTATATAAAGTCACCTCCGTGAACACATACTGCTGTTATATAAAAGTCACCTCCGTGAACACATACTACTGTTATATAAAAGTCACCTCCGTGAACACATACTACTGTTATATAAAGTCACCTCCGTGAACACATACTGCTGTTATATAAAGTCACCTCCGTGAACACATACACACTGCTGTTATATAAAGTCACCTCCGTGAACACATACTGCTGTTATATAAAGTCACCTCGTGAACACATACTACTGTTATATAAAGTCACCTCCGTGAACACATACTGCTGTTATATAAAGTCACCTCCGTGAACACATACTACTGTTATATAAAGTCACCTCCGTGAACACATACTGCTGTTATATAAAGTCACCTCCATGAACACATACTGCTGTTATATAAAGTCACCTGTGAACACATACTGCTGTTATATAAAGTCACCTCCGTGAACACATACTGCTGTTATATAAAGTCACCTCCGTGAACACATACTGCTGTTATATAAAGTCACCTCCGTGAACACATACTGCTGTTATATAAAGTCACCTGTGAACACATACTGCTGTTATATAAAGTCACCTCCGTGAACACATACTGCTGTTATATAAAGTCACCTCCGTGAACACATACTGCTGTTATATAAAGTCACCTCCGTGAACACATACTGCTGTTATATAAAGTCACCTCCGTGAACACATACTACTGTTATATAAAGTCACCTGTGAACACATACTGCTGTTATATAAAGCCCGTGGAAAGTCTCTGTTCAAAGACACGCTGCAAAGCTGCATATTGGAGAAGATCTGTACACAAGAAGCCGCTAGCATAGCTCTGTTAGCATCAGAGCCGGCTACTTCCGGTACTTCCCGGAGCCCTTGGGGTATATGAGGATATTGCAGTGGGCACTCGAGATGATTTCCAAAATTTGACAACACTGATGAGAGAGAAAGTGGTCATTTTTCTCAACGAAACCACCACATGTATTTATTCTATTATAAACATTGTATCCAGAACTTCTTTACTTTTGATTGAGTTTTGATTCAGTCCATTCATGCACTCATTTTGTTCAGAGAATACTAAAAGTCAGGTTAAAAAGAGGCATTAATTTAGTCAAAATGGGTGCTTTTGTTGAACAACACATGGTACTCTAACCCTGACTATGCAGACAAGGCCAAAAAGGTCTGGAGCCACTGCCCTAGAGCATCGTGAGCATCCTGTCAGAAGCAGTGGGTTTACAGCTCACTCCTCACACAGAGGAAAGAAGCAGAACAAAGAGACATCTGTGAATCCAACGGTTCACAATGGTAGTTTAAGCAATAGAGCAACAACTTTGGATTAATTCATCTTTAAACTCTCTGCATGTGAATTGAAGTTATCTGAAAATGAAAAACAAGACACACTTCAATCAGAGTTATAAACTATTATGTATAATTATGATTTTGGCCATATTTTTGTACAGGGCTTCTCCAAGAAGCAGATAAAGTGACTGAAGCATTTTCATTGTACAATCCAGACCTGAGACAGGTAATGTGTGTGTTTGTAGGTCGCCCGGTGATGATCGTGGTGGAGTTCATGGAGAACGGGTCACTGGACTCGTTCCTCAGGGTGAGTGATCCACGCAGCTGCAGGAGGTGGACCACAATGAACCACACACAATTATATGAGCAAATGTTTTTTACAATTGTTACAAAGTTTTCAATTATAGCTCAGAAAAACAAACCAGACTCTGCATATAAACAGCCCTCCAGGCTGCCTGCAAGCCAGAAATGGAAACAATAAATAAAATCAAGGTAGAATTTTTAGCTACGTGCAGTTTACAAAAAACGATTTTGTTGTAGGTCGGATTATAATTTTGTGATAATTTTAAGGCTTATTAAATACAATAATTGTAGGAAAGTAGATTAATTAAGGTGATTGAGCTAAATAACAATGTTCGCTACTACTTAAAAGATATTCATATTATGCAAGAAAATCAATTCTGTGACACTGAAACAAAATAAATTAAACTGTAATTTTCCACTTCATAGTCATAAAGTTCAACTCACAAAGTAGTTATCTAATAGAAGAGTTGTTTCTCTGTTTGACTTTATAGATTGCCTTTGTTACATTGATTGCATATGATGCAAAACATTATGGATTTGCTCAAGTAGCAAAGATTGGCTTTAACAAAGAGCTGGACGAACCTCATTTGATTTTCACACTTGGACATCTGAGACGCTCTCCCGATGAATTGGGACCCAAAAAAACGTCCCTCTTCCATAGTCTTCAGATATATTTCTCCTCTGTCCTGTCTGTGTTATTCATAGATTACTCAGTTCAGTTACATTTGCTTCTCTGTTAGCAACACGACGGTCACTTCACGGTGATCCAGCTGGTGGGCATGCTGCGGGGGATCTCCTCGGGGATGAAGTACCTGTCCGACATGGGCTACGTGCACAGGGACCTGGCGGCGCGGAACATCCTGGTCAACAGTAACCTGGTGTGTAAAGTGTCCGACTTCGGCCTGTCCAGAGTCTTAGAGGACGACCCCGAGGCGGCCTACACCACTACGGTAAGAGAGTGTTTCATTACCTCTTGTGTATAATGGTTGTATGAAGTGTCTTTAATGCTGAGGCCAGACTTTATTACTATCTGGAAAGTCTCAGACAAAACTGTTTTTGCGACCTGGATCTATTCCCTGCCCGTCCGTGGGTTTGGATCCCTCTCAAGTTGTTCCGTGCTGATGCAGGAGGGTCTAAGGACATTGGTAATGATCCAGGACATTTAAGAACAATTAAGAACATTTAAGAACATTTATTAACATTTGTGGCGATTTGGACCAATGGCTCCTGTGTTTGTTATTGTTGCATTTCCTGTGTTCGAACAGTTTGATTCTCTGATCTGTGTTGGTGGAGAACTTTGTAAAGTCCTCCAGGACAACTGCTGTTGTGATTTAGGGTAAATAAATCAAATTGAAATTGAATTCGTAGCTGTTGCTGCTGGTTGATTGCTACTTGGACATTTGGTAGAATAATATAGAGATATATTGATACATGGCATGATGGCTTGTTAGAATAGTGCTTTTCATTGTTGTACAAGGTACACTGTATGTGCACTGCTGCGGTTTAAAGCAAATAAATAATGAAAATCCAGATCAATGCTACAGCCAACACCAGCAAAATCTGCATAAATAATGCAAAGTTCATCATAAAACCTAGAACTATTGCCATGGTGCTTGTTTGTTGAAAGAATTGGAATAAAATTGTATTCTTCCTTCATATTTAATTGTGTGGATACTTGAAACAAGTTAAACCACAACTCAAGAGAAGGTAATAAATATAGGGAACCATTAGAACTAAGTTAGAAAGCACATAAAAGGCGACTACACAAAATGTGTGTATTAAATGGGACTCTTTAAGACTACAACGTTTCTTCTTAACCGATCGGATCAAGTTTTTTCAGCTATGCATCTCTTCTACAATAGCAAAATGATCTGTCGCTTCTTTCTCAGGCGACAGATTTGTCCAAATGTGTCAAATTTGACAAAAATGTTTATTACAATATAGTTACGTTCATCAAAGATTCACACAAACCTCTTGAAATGTGTGTGTGTTGATGCCTGAATCCTCAGGTCTGCTTTACTCTAATGGCATCGACACTAAGAAACGACTTGTGCATGTAAAGACTTCTTCAAAAACATATTCTAGCTCTGGTATCTTAAGATGTGCTAAAACCATGTGCACGGCCAGATGGGGAACCGCATGTGGCTCAGTGACAAATCCTCATTAGAAGGAAAGTTTTAAAATTCTGTGGAAAATGCAGAGTTTATAAGTGTGAGTTTTGCTCCTGAAGCTGTCAGTGATTCATCATAGATGTCCATTCTTTTGTTTACGTCCTTGCATTACTTCGGAGATCATTAGTCTTTTAGCGCTTCTGCTGCATATGAGGTACAATCTTTCCTCCATATGCAAATCCAAATCTTTCAGAAAAGTTGTTAAAGGTCCAACATTTAGTTTTGCTCATTGCCGCCCACTTGGTAAGATATATTCACTCACTCAGTTACAATAGGCCATTCTGATTTGAATTTATTTCATGTTTTTTTTTTTTGTTGATGGGACGGTGTGTGTTGAAGAGCAGCAGTAGATCATTTCCATCTGTAGTCCCACAGTCGCACTCATTCAACCCAACTATTGTACGTGTTTTTAGTGGTAGGGGAAACCGAAGCAGGCACAGGGAGAGCATGCAAACTCCACACAGAAAAGCCTGAAGGTGGAATCGAACCAATGACCTTCTTGCTTACATACAGTAGATTACATTGTATGATTGTATAATTATTATCCATCTATTTGGATGGGAGCCTGCCAGGAGCCAATGGGACGGCACTAGCTATAATGGCTACTGTTGTTGTGTCTTTCCCATCAATCTTTGCCTTTCTTACCGTCTCCAGTAAACACAGAAGAGATTTTACTTAAATAATGGATGTGTGTGACAGGGAGGAAAGATCCCGATCCGGTGGACCGCTCCAGAGGCCATTGCCTACAGGAAGTTCTCTTCTGCCAGCGACACATGGAGCTACGGCATCGTCATGTGGGAAGTGATGTCCTACGGGGAGCGGCCATATTGGGAGATGTCCAATCAGGATGTGAGTACTTCCAAGATAATTCAGTAGAGCTCAATCAATCAATAAAACACTAGTTCCAGTGGTGTCATTTGTTTTATATCCTGCATTCAACAAACCAGGAACATTTCACCTTAAACCTTGGATTTTTAACTTTCAAACGTGACATTGTTCTTCTAACTAGTTCCTCACTTTTTAAACAGTTTAGCCCCAAAAGTAGTTTTCACAGGCATGCATTTTTTGGATTGGCTTTTTCAGACAGAAGTGAAAAAGAAAGAACCACCTTCACTCAGTGTGCAAAGCATAATAACATATAATATTATCGGATTTGTTCACAAAATGTTATCTACAAGACTCTATCTATTTTAGCAGTCGACATGTATTATTTGTGAAAAATAAGTTAGGTACCCCAACTTTAAGGAGCTCAACATCCAAACAATTTTATTTTATCTTCGATGGTAATAAAAACATTTAGGCCAGGACGAATGAAGTATGGACTCACATTTTGTTGCGAAATAATGAAGTTATTATGCAGGCGACAAAGTTTTTCTTAACCATCATCGTCAAGTCATTGCTCGACCTCATCAAATGCAACACCACACTGGCTAAAACTGTTGCCCTTTTGCTCAACTTGAACCAAAGAAATGCCTTTTGCTGCTGTGGGACATGGGACAGAAACATTGGTGCAAAAAGGATAAAAAAGAGGAGTGAATTCCACCACAAATGTCAGTGGTTCAGAGGACTTGTCCAGCCCAGTGAGGGTTTAAATCCGTGCGTTTGGTTCAGCTGTGTGACCCCTTCATCCCGGGCTTGTGGACAGCCATTGGACCAGGACTACAGAGGAAGCAGAAGCCATCCCTTTCTCCGCTGAGTCTGAAATCTGCTCTGTAATCCCACTCGCACATACACACATTTCCACTAAGGTCTGTGGGATTTGGGTCTGGATTTATTCTGTTTGGGAATTGCTTAGAAGTGCTTTCCAAGGCGAAAAATGGTCGCCAAGCTTCACTGTGTTGCGAGTTAGACTATCTCCCTCTTGGTCAGACACCGATCACAGGACTCCAGTGAGATACATGGTGTGGACTATCTACTAAAGCATACAATCATACATAAAAAGGAGCGATAAAAGGAAGAGGCTAAGGCTCCCGGGCAGTGATTTATATAGAAAAGTCCGCGCTCTTCATCCAAGCGAGCCGGAGGAGCTGATACCGAGTGCTGTGCTCTTTATCATAAGCTCATAGATGTGTCACCGAAACTTTAGGAGTAAGTTAGAAGTGATTATAGAACTGTTTATACGTGGACAGAAATAACTGTAGTGTTATCATTTAGACGGTTTTAGAATAGAAATCCTGATTAAAACACACAAAGAAACTCTTATGGCAAGAAGAGTGGGCCGCCTATATCATTGAACTCAAGCGGCTAACTTTCAAACTTTATGTATTTAATTATGTGACAGGGACAATGTAGTCATACATAGTTATACCATGAAAAATGCAGCTGAGTGTATAGCTAATGCTGATTTTCAACTCCTGTCCATAGTTGAGCTTTTCCCTACAGTGCAACACATAAGTTATGATAAGATAGATTTTATTGATCTCACACTGGAGAAATGCACCTGTCACATTTGGTATGGAGAGAGTCACTTAGATTGTGTAAAAGACAGAAGTGTGCAACATGTTAAGGTTTAGAAATATAGGCTGAGCAGGATATGATTGTGTACAAGGAAAAAAAAAAACAGAATGAATAAAATAGACAGCCCTAAAACACATATTTAAACTAGAACTTTCACAACTTTCAAACCACAGCAAATTATTTTATGAATTTACATGACAGGAACAATGTAGTCATATATAGTTACAGCGTGAAAGATGAGACACAGAGTGTGTAGCTAAGTATGACTTCAACTCCTGTCCCTGGTTGAGCTTTTACCCACAGTGCAACACATTATGTAGAACGAATAAATTAGACGGCCCTTAAACACAAATGTAGATGAATGTCGTAAATGCCATCCAACTTGTTACTTGCTTTTAAAAAAGGTTAGTTCTGTCTTTATATGCATGTATTTTTACCCTCGTCCACAACTTTAGATCAGCTTTTTTTAGACAGAAAAGTGAAAGAGAGCTCCATCCTCGCTCAGCCAATCAACTTTCAGCTCAAAGCGTGATGATTTGTTGCTGTAGCCATAGAAGAACGTTAGTCAAATTGTAATGAATAAGATGGTTAGAGCTGTTTGGCACCCCATGTAAAACTTTGCCTCAATCTGTAGGGGGCGCTATTGGGCCAATTTCAAATATTTCACTTTCACCTGACCTAAACAATGGAGCTGAACATTGGATTCAAGTTTTGTGCAAATCAGACTTTGTATGTGTAAACGGGAGCAAAATTAATGTTGTGAAAAATGGTCAAAAAACACTCACATTTTGCCGCTCCGCTGCTCAAACAACGTTTCACTGATCAAAAATCCCTGAGGTCATTTTGAAGGTACATGTGTTGAGATGATGTGGAGCGATTTTGAGGCAAATCGGTGAAACGGCCGAGGAGGAGTCGCTTTCCAACCGATATGGATGAAAATGATTGCTGTTCCATCAATTTTGCAGTGAAATTTATGGGCCTCCTGTTTGTCAGAGGGCGGACTTGAGGAACATGTGTACCGAATTTCATGGCTCTACGACAAACTTGACCTCTGAAACTCCCATTGGCTGTTGTAGGTGGCGCTGTTCTGGCATTTTTTGAGTCCCATAAAAATAAACACCAAAATATAAAATTTTTCACCAGGTCTGATGTTTGGGCAAAATTTTACAACTTTTCATGCATGTTCAGGGGGTCAAATTAAGGCTCAAAGTGCAGAATTTGACATCTCTCGAGCAAAAACAATAGGCCCTTTCCCCGTTCGGGGCTCGGGCCTAATAAATAAAATAAAATAAAAATAAATAATATCATGAAGACAGCATGTTGAGACTCCTTCTGTTGAGGCCAAACAAAATATATTATTCATAAAGGGGAGTTTGCTGACCCAGCTTTAAGAAGAGAAATGCCACCAGTTGCTGTAGACAGTTTTTCTATTCCCTCACCTGTAACTTTTAACATTATTTAAAATTTGTCTGATGATAAAAAAAAAAAACGAGGTGAAAAGTTCATCTCTGAATTATTTGAGTCCCACTATCTTTCTGTGCAAGACCTTTCGTTCAACTTTGAAAACTAGTCTCTTGTTTTACATAATTCCCTGTTTCCTCATCAGTTTCCGTGCAGTCACAGTCGTTCTGGTGTGTGCCGTGTCTCTAGGTGATTCTGTCCATTGAAGAGGGCTACAGGCTGCCGGCGCCCCTGGGCTGCCCCGTGGCGTTGCACCAGCTCATGCTGCACTGCTGGCAGAAGGAGCGCAGTCATCGGCCCAAGTTTGTCGACATCGTAACGTTTTTGGATAAACTCATCCGTAACCCCAGCAGCCTCCTGCCACTGGTGGAGGATATTCAGAGGTAGAGATTTTTTGTGTGTGTAATAAATGCTTCAAATTTTGCGCGGATATTTGATGAGAAGAGGTTGTTCTGAAGTCATGCACTAAGATACAGAATTTTACATTTGCTCCTTTTGCTGAAGTCTGGGGTGTTTGTACTTAAGTCTTGCTTCTTTGTCATGATAAAGTTGGAGATTTTAAGACTTCTTATTCATTATGCTTAAGATATAGATTTTATATAGAGTTAGAGATTTTATTTTATTTTATTTTAATATAGAGTTATTATTATTTTATCTTGTGCTGTGTGCTTCTCATTCCCATTGTTCTATAACTTGTGATGCAACTCTGAATTTTCCCCACTGTGGGACGAATAAAGGATCTCTTAATCTTAATCTTCAATCACAACTTTCCAAAGAGCCTAGAATTGTGGTGGAAGGCAGCTGGCAACGATGTAAGGCTTTTAGTTTAGAACGAATGTGTCTGTAATCCACAGGAAACAAAAAGTTCTGCGTCAGAACAAATCATCTATGGTAGAACTACTGTCATAAAAGGGAGTGCTGACAGTTTCAACAAACATATGCAAGTAGAAAGGACTTTTTCATCAAATCACTATCAAATAATAATCTTTTTAAATGATTCTTTAAATGATTGTCTGAAAATTGCTGTTTCATAGTGGTGTATTGGATCCTTTCCTCCAACCAGTGGGAATATGTGAGGGGGCAGCAACAGCAGTTTTGATGGAATATTTATTGGAAAACTGTTTTTCTCTGTTTTGTCTTTTCTTGTATAAATATAAATATTTAAATAAGTTGCTGAAATGACTCATTTCCCAGGAGTACATGACTCATGAACGCCCCTTTAAGTTTTTTCCAATAGATTTGAAAATAACTTCTGAATGGCCATGGAAAATTTCAGACATAATCCGGCTTTGACCCCTGTGGCTCTTTGCTATTAAAGTAAATGCAATTAAGATGATCCATTTGTCAGAGAGCAGTACTCCTCTATCTGTGAACAAAGGGGATAAAGTTAATCAAGTATTACACTCCCGCTTATAAAAGTAGATCCTATTACACAGGTCCTGCTTTTATACATAATTCAATATGAAACTAACTGCTGCGTGTCGCCCTCAGTCTTCCAGAGTCCCCGTGTCCGAGTGAGGAGATGGATTACCCCATGTTCATCTCTGTCGGAGAGTGGCTCGACTCCATCAAGATGTCGCAATACAAAAGCAGCTTCATGGCGGCGGGATACAACACGCTGGACGCTGTGGCGCGGATGAGCATTGAGTGAGTAACAAAGACACTCACAGACTTAACATCATCCTCACTACACATACTGGAAAAACTACACAATTTACAGCCAGACTGACAGTAACTTTTACATAAAGGCTCTGAACAGTGCTTCTACTCCTATTTTATTGAAGTAATAGCATTTTGAAAAACCTGCACTACTATTGCCACTCTTTCTTTAATTGCCATATTTACATAATTCTAACCTGCACAAACGATATAATTACCTTTAACATGTTGCACACTTCTGTCTTTTGCACAATCTGAGTGACTCTATCCGTGCCAAATCAGACATGTACATTTCTCCAGTGTGAGATCAATAAAGTCTATCTTATCCTAATTTTACTTGATCAAATGTGTAGTTGGTGTTACCACAAAATGTTCCATTGAAAAAAGTTTTCACCTCCAGTCTGGACAACTATCCAACTTACTTTCAATTACATTTATTTTTGTACAGCCCTAAATTACAAAAGTGGTTATCTCAGAGGACTTTACAAAAACAGAGTATAGTCCGGAAATCTTAGGGTTGGGGTACATTATTTACTATTGACAAGCAAACCACACACACTCATCAATCTTCCACTTCCAATGAATTACAAACCATATCTGTCTGTGTCGTATCTTAAGAAGCCCTAAAGTGTTGTGTGTCTGTGTGCGTCTTGTCTCTCGCTCTGGGCCTAGAGATGTGAGGCGTGTGGGGGTGGAGCTGATTGGACACCAGCGGCGAATTATCAGCAGCGCTCAGACTCTTCACTTCCAGCTGCTGCACGAACACGACCGGGGGTTCCATGTATGAGGCCGGACACGGAGCCCTCACATGGCCCCACGCACCGAGCCACATGGGACGGGTGCATAGACGGCAGCGAAGTCTAGAACGCAGCCCCCGATGATTCTGGATCATGGACAGAAAGGGGGTGGAGTTTGCTTCTCGACGGGACACCTCTCCGTAGAATCGTAGTTTTTTTTCTACTCTCCTGCTCACAAGACTTTGGGCGAGACCCTAAAAGGACTAAGAACGGGTCCGCACCTATAGGAGAATGTAACCTAGCCAAGTAGATCTGCAAAAGTAATCTACTCGACCTTTTTGTTTTGAGTTATGTGCTCATGTAGCTGCTATCGGGTGTGCAATTCCAAAAGTCTTTATTTGAAATTATTTATTGAGAAATTTGCTTATTTACCTCCAGGGAATCTGGCGGAATAATACTTGAAGACATTGAAGTAGAGAGCAAAGAAAGGGATAAACTTTATTGAATGTTTCTAAAGTGTATAGACAACTAATCAATTGTTATCATAAACTTATATCTATTAATGTGCAGTCTTGTATGTGAAAAGCCCTAGTGAATTTGGATCTTATAATGATTTATTTTCTATCTAAATCAGCAATACAGCGACATGGAGTCACCTCAGTTTCTCAGAGATTAGGAAAAGTGCAAAGAGAATGTACACTGCTAAAAACGGACGCAACAATAGGTTCATAAGTTCTTCAAGTAAGTAGTTTTATCTTGATTTGACCACACTGTGCTTTGGTTGTCTAATAACATTTGCCGACTTGCTTGTTCCATTAGAAAATCTTATATTAAAGGGACCGTATGTAATATTTACTTTCTAAATTACTTACTGTTATTAATTATTTACTATATCTAAATCCTTTTCATATGTCCTTAGTGTCTCCTTTACTAGATCTACATTTACAAGTCATATTTGGACACGAGGCCAATAATATTTATGTTTTTTCTCATTTACGTTGTCAGTTTTTCAGGTGAAATTGCACTGATCTTGGCTCAGTCTTTAATATATTTATACAGTGTATCAGAATCAGAATCATTTTCATTGCCACATAAGTAACAGGAGGTCACAGAGTTGGAAATTGCTTTGGCTCGGTGCAACAGTCATAAAGAGAGGTATGGGTGGAGAGGCATAATAAAAAATAAAGAATAAGAAACACTTCTAAGGAATAGATTTAAAATACAAATTTATAATAGAGTTACAATTACTATATACTGTATACCGGCGGGTTCAGGGACACGACAAAGAGGAGGCAAAACGAGTGTAATTATAACATACAAGTAGAACATTTAGTTAAAGCCGGTGTGAGATGTGAGCATGTGATTATCAGCAGAGTGGAGAAGTTGTGAGGTAGCAATGAAAGCCAATGTTTGGTGTGAAGTGAATGTGGTGCATCAAATAAAAGACAAGTTCAAAAGTGCAAATGACGACCGGGCAGAGCTCTTCAGAACAGGTCCAAAAGACACGACAGACGGAAAGGTAGTGAGGAGAAGTTAGGGGCGTGGCGCAGGTGAGTATCTAGACCAGTGGGGGCGGGTCCCGGATCAAAAGTGGCCAAAATGACGCACGCTGACATGCTGCAATACCACCCCAGGCCGATGGGGGTGGACCCGGAATAAGAATTAGCCAATGCTAACATGTCACCTCTCAAAAACATCTTTACAGGATGGTCCAAAAGTAGCTCTTGGCCCAAAGCTCTGTTCCACATGTGTGTCAATGCTGAGGGACCAGTCTAGTTTAGTCACTGTGAATTTTTGAAGGCACTTGTTTAAATGAATGGGGCTCGTGCAGACTGACGCATGCGCAAAGCGGAAGTTGTGGCACATTAGAACGGCGGAGATAGGCGTGACTTAATATTTACAGTCTATGATCAACAGATAGACAGAGGAGGCAAACAGCACCCTCCTCTGGACACTGAGGGCATGGTTCGTAATAATAAACACAAATCTTCCAACTATTTATTTTATTTATTTGGGACAATGCACATTAATGAACATCAGTATAAAACAAATGTTAATATCCCGGATTATACCAAGCTAGTTTTCATCTGTAGTCCCTAGGCAGGAAAATACATAGGAAACGACAACATACAACACAGGCAGCACAGGGAAAGGTTATGAGTCTAGTGGTCACGTGACTGATTTCTTTCCTGCCAGATCAGAGAATCAAACAGTTCAAACTCAATGAAATGCAATGATGAAAACACATAAAGCCATTGGTCCACAAGGAGCAGAGACCAGATAAATGTCCACTAAACGTAGATGCAAACATAACTAGAAAGATTCCCGTAACAAGTGTGATTGTGATGACTTTACCATATCGAGTGCATATTACATACGTCCCTTTAAGACAGGATAACAAGGTGCAATCATCAAGATAACTTTTATGTATTTTTAGCTGTTTTACAATGTATTATTGCTGTGTACAAACCACTGCGACCATTCACCAGTCAACTCTTGTCACTAAGCTCTATCAGTTGCCTTCAAAGAAATTTCCATCGTACAACTTTCTCACAACAAGCCTGCTTTTGAATGTCGATATTGCCTGGAATTACACCAACCCCACTGTCTTAAATGAATGTTCACAAACCATGTAAAAAAAAAAAAAAAAACCTGGAAAACGCCCAGACTCGGTTGTGGTTGTTGCTGGTATCGACCCACTTTTGAAAAATGTTCTTTTGCCTCTAGTGCACCACATTGAGCATTTCTGAAACTATAATGTACATACGCAGATATAGGAGGAAGCTTGGTTTTGAAATGTTTGCTATTTTACCAGTGAATGGGCAGTGTTGCATAGATTATACCATAGTTAGATGAAGCTAAAGGCATCTGAAGTTATTATAATATGATGGTTTTGGTATTAATAGTATAGTGGTAGTTTTGTGGCCAGGGCAGCAGCAAAGAATATTAAAGATTACAGACACAGCATCCTGATTATTGATAGTTTTAGCTTTTTATTCACCCATGGACACACAGAATGCCTTACAGCGGTTGTTGAAGGATACAGTAATCCCAGGACCTAGACATAAGTTATTCGTATTTTGTTTTACACATAGAAATACCCGATAATCTCTGTACTAAAGAGGTGGTTTTGGTCTGGATCTGTGCCTTTCTGTCACAGCGGAGGTACAATACTGCGCAAAGGTTTTAGGCAGACATGAAACGTATTTATGATTAGTTATTTGTTTTTATTTGTCATTTTAATGTACTCAAAATATATTGTACAAATTGTAAAAACAAATATTGATTAAGGGATTCAACCAGTAATGGAAAGTAGACGTGTTTCTTTAGATCCACTATTGAAAAATCATGTATAAGTGATTGTAGAAACTATATATGTTCTTGTTATTGGGGTGGGAACAAGCACTTGCCAATTACATTTTGCAAAAACGTCTCGCTTTACCTCAAATTATAAAACTACCTCAAATTGCACACTGATAACTAATCTTACTGCTCTTGGAATGAGACTAAACTTAATTTTTTAGACATTAAAATCTTTCAAACGTATCTGTCTTATCTGCAACCAGCCCTAGACTTTCTGTGTCAGGTGGGTTTCCTCCAGGCGCTCCGACTTCCCCAGCCATTCAAAACATGCACCTTTTACGGTAGTCCTGACCAAGCCGAGCATCGACATGTGGAGATGGATCCCAGGCTCTGTTCTGCCAACTGCTTTGAAGGAAAGGTCAAATACAGAGGTTTTTTTTTTTTCTAATTTGATGACGACAAGGTGTAGGTATCTAATATTTGTCTCAAAACTCGACAATAAATACAATACAGTTTCTGGAGGTAAAAACAGAATTTGTCATAATGTCATGGGGGGAAGTTGGGTCTTGCAGCATAAACTTATTTTGTGCAACTTAACAATTGTGAATTAGGATTGTGGCTGTGGCAGAAGTCCACAGCCCTAATGCTTCTTGTGAATATTTGTGTATAATACTTTGTGCATTTGAAACCTGCCTAAGACCTTTGCACAGTCCTGTCTGCTTCTTCCTGAGAGGGCCCATCACTCACTCACGCTACGGAAATCCAGAGAATATCAGATGCTGTTTGTTTGGCATGTTCTACTGCTGAGCAAGGTTAGGACGTTCTTTTGTACCAGGTACAAGTTAAAACTCTTGTATTTTATTTTTCTATGATTTCCAAAGAGATGTTGTAGATCTTGTCCACTGTAAGAGGCAGTTACAGCAACTATTTATTTGCAAATAAAGATGAACAGTTCTGGTGGTTGGCTGCTTATTGCATTTTGGTTTGAGTTTTATTTTGCTTCATGATGATGGGAAAACAACAATATGGACCTGAGCCACAAAATCCCACTCCACCAGATGTGACAGGATTGTTTCAGCTAAAATGTATGCTTCTTTATCGCAGTGAAGCAACTGTTGTATGTTATTTTTAGGGAAAGACGTACACACAATACTATGATTACAGATGGATAGTTAAACACATATTTTTCACTTGTAAATGTAATGGGCAAATGCTGAGGCCGTTTAAATACGTATTTATAGACAGAATGAATGAATGAATAATTGATCCCCTGAAGGAGAAAATCCGGTGTCCAGCAGCAGAAACATATCCATCAAACCAAATATCAATTAATACATAATTCTAAAAGTTACTAGCAATAGAGTCTTAGATATTAAAGAATCTAAAAGGAATTATTATTTAAAAGTTCATTAATTTCTGTTTGTTTGATTTTATTCAGATCCCTGTTAGCTACTGAAATATACTGTTGCTAATCTTCCTAGGATCTATATAAAAAAGAATGTACAATGGACAAAAATGAATGATTAATTTATTTTTACTTAAATTTTGAAACCAATTTTACGATATAGACTTATTACATGCAAAGTAAAATGTGCCAAGTCTTTATGTGTCTTAATTGAATAACAGCTTGCAGTAATTTTTCAAAATGTTTTACTGTTTTTTGCCGGCTGTGAGCCAATTATCAACAGTACAACACTTAAAAGGCTTGATACATCTCACTCTGCGTGTAATTTCGTTCACTATTTTCACATTGTAAGTTGTCTGTATGTATAGGCAATGCAAGTTTAACCAAAAGATTAAGAAGCGATTACATACAATAACAGTGTGGAGAAATCTGTGTGATTTTTGGCTTCGGTGTTATGGCACTTCTTCCCTCTGTCTGATGCCTCTTTCCAAATGTCATGACATTTGTGTGATGTTACAGTGACATTTGTCATTTACCCAGTGTTGTGGTTTTAATAACTATTGTACACACTCCAGCGCGGAGCCACAGATGGTCTGAATTATGTGTGAAAAGCAGCGCGACACAAGAGAGTGACTCCAAATGTCTGATCGCAAACACCAACAGCTGCAGAGGTTTTGGGAATGGACACACGCGATGGGACAATTAGTGTGGACAATTCATGGATAATGTGACCTTATTAATTCTGTAGGCCAAATTTATACAAGGAAAAACTGTTATTCTTTCTCATTTAAGTCGGAGTACCTCACTTTTTTCATAAGTACGTTTGGTTTGTTTTACTTTCTGAACAAATCGCACCCCACAAAGCTGTCTTTACCTTTAAAAATCATCTAAATACAACAAACCAAACCAACATGCATGAGAGATTAGTTAAATATATCTTCTGACATAGTTTTTTGGGGGAATTAAAAGTTATTTTTATTTATTTTTTACTTTATTTACACACCAGGTGAACATATACATAGGGACAGTCAATAAGCAAGCAATACAAACAATAATATTAGTTATAGAAAGGACTTAAACAAATATATAAACACTGAATTTAGGTGTAGGTGTGTGTGTGTGTGGGGGGGGATAAGAATGACTAAATACACAATGCAATACAGTGACAAACGGTATACAGTAAAACCATCTACAAAGGGACCACAAAGGGGAGGAGAAAGGGGAGGATTTAAAAGTTAGATACTCCATCTTTAGGCAGGGCAAGCGTTATACCTTATAACCTTATAAAGCACACCAAGCCTCTTCATGAATTAGGTATTATATCATCACTCTAAAAATGTGTCTATTTTGTAGTCAGAATTATGAGTAATAGATAAAAACTATAGTTAAAAGATAGGTATAAAAGACATTAATCAGATTCAGATTGAGACTACTTTATGTATCCCACTAGGGGCAATTTTTCTGAGCAGCACATTGTATAAAAAACACAGGAAGACAATAATCAGTAATCATGAGGCCAAAACCATGACAAAAAACAAAGTACATGTGCTCACTCTAAACAAAGCAGCGAGTGTCCAATGGAGATGCCTCCTGTCAGGTCAGCAGGTGCTCCAGCTTAATTCTCCTAATAGGATTAACCTCCCAGAGCCAGGGCAGCATCTCAGCCTGGATCTGAGCACAACACACTATTCCAAATGTAGAGAGATCACCCACGGTCATCTCTGTTTCACTGTTGTGGGATGTCGCATTCTTGTGTTTGAATGTGGTGTAGCCGCGCCTAATGGGGCTGCTGGACAAACTCTCGGGCTGGCTCGGCCTCAGGAAGAAAGAGGTCAACGTCTTGTGCCTTGGACTCGACAATAGCGGGAAAACGACGATAATCAACCAACTTAAACCTCCGAATGTAAGTTTTAACAAAAGTTGTGTGTAGTCTTTGGCAGACAGCTGTGTTGCTTTAAAGATGGGGTACCTTAACAATAATAAATAAAAATAATAATAAGTTTTGTTTGTACCAAGAGAAAGAATCATTATGTGAACCATTCTGACCAGTAGTCTTGAAAACTCGACAGCAGTGTCCCGGGATGAGGCCATGTGGTCCTGACTCTAGTTCTTATTTTCTGGCTGATCAGACCCCAGGATGACGCAGGGGCCAAAAATGTTAAAAACTATAGTTGTAACTGTTTTGAGAGCTTGGAGCTATGGGTTAGAGGGGTGTCATAACATTGTTCCATTGTTTTGGGTTTGAAGTCACGTACCCCAACTTTAAAAATGCCTCACTTGGAAAGAGGGCAAAATACAAAAGGCGAAACTTCTTTTAAGCCTCAAACCAAGGCACGTTTTCCATGAATCAAGCCACATTGGAATCTTTTTGTGTCATTTTTACAGTGTATTGCTTTACCAAAGAATGTCGCACTTTGAACATTCAGTCTTTCTGTTCTTAAAATCAAGTTGAAGACACATAATATTTATCACACTAAGTATTTTTCCGCAATAGTAACTGTTGTATGCAAATGAATGAGATCTGTAACGTTGTGCTGTGGAATATTCAAAGCAATAAATTACACGTTGAAATAAATAATATGTGATTCCAATGGACTGCTTATTTTCAGAATTCAAATCATTTAGGGCCGTTGTCATCGGAGTGGAAGCATGTTAGTCAGGTAAAGCCCTCGTAACCGGCTGTTGACAAACTGGCCGTCACTTCTCTCTGTGTCTGTGTTGTGTGTGGTTGTGTTCGTTTGTCCTATGAACCTCCCCGGCCCCTGCGCTCCTCACGCAGCAGACGCCTAACCATTGGAGTGAGGCAAAGAGAAAAATGTCTAGAGTGAGTCTGGTGTGTGCGTAAACAGTTGGTGGTGGTTGTAGGAAAGTCAGGACACACACTCACAGACACACACTCACAGACACACACTCACGGACACACACTCACAGACACACACTCACGGACACACACTCACGGACACACACTCACAGACACACACTCACAGACACACACTCACGGACACACACTCACGGCGAGGCATCTCTCCAGTACCACGGCCCCCGTCTCTGGAGCAGTCTGATGAGGAGCTCAGGGCCGCAGAGAACGTTCATATTTTAAAAGCTCAAAACACACCTTTTTAGATTAGCTTTTATTACTTATTATACAATTTTACCAATTCTATTTATCTCCATCCATCCATCCATTTTCTACCCTTTAATCCATTTCTGGGTCAGGGGGGTGGTAGTCAGAGATGCCACCCAAGTCTCATAGCACCAGCCCCTCACTGATCCTCTGCAGGTGGTGAGTCCACAGGAGGTGGACTCACCTACTTTCTAATATTCTATTTATCTTTCAGATAAATTTAGTTTTATTATTATTTATTTGTTAGTTATTGTGCTTTAGTCTTTTTACCCTAAAATTCAATGTTTAGCTTTTTTATTGTTTTGTTTTAGTATCCCTAGTATCCCTAGTTTCCTCTGGAGGAACCCTCTGCACTGGGAGCAGTGGTCGCCTGTGGCTGTAGGGGTCTGGCTCCTGGACCTAGTGGGGTCTGGGGCCTCCTCTCTCCTCAGGGTCCTGTTGGGGTCTGCCCCCCCCCCACCTGGTGGGGTCTGGGGCCTCCTCTCTACCGCGGGTCCTGTGTCTCCCCTGTGGCTGAAGGCGGCTCTCTGCTCCTGGTGCAGACAGCTCCTTAGATGACGCTTCTTCAGCTGGTTACTCTGACAATTAGCCTAATGTATTTTCTTGGTGTTTGTTTTGTGTGTATGTGTGTGTACTTCATAATAATTGTGATTTGAGGTGGGCCTGTTGGGTGGGCCTGTTGGGTGGGCCATGGGCATGTGTCTTTACCACACTGTGAAGCACTTGTATGAAAAGAGCTTTATAAATATACATTTGATTTGATTTAGACACAGGCTCAAGACATAGTCCCGACCATCGGCTTCAACATCGAGAAGTTCAAGACCTCAAGGTAAACGAAACACGATGTATCTTTAAATGACTTTATATAAATCATTTCTAACAGCTTTTATTACTCTCTGTAAACAGCCTTTCCTTCACGGTGTTCGACATGTCAGGCCAAGGAAAATACAGAAACCTTTGGGAGCATTATTACAAGTAGGACCCTAACTATTCATGAAACTCACGTAAATCTGTAAATATTTTGTTGTGAGATTATTTTTGCATGTTCTCCTTTACAGGGACAGTCATGCGATCATCTTCGTGGTGGATAGTGTGGACAAACTGCGGATGGTGGTTGTCAAAGAAGAGCTGGACACGCTTCTACAACATGAGGGTAAAGAAACACCTTTGGACTCATTTTAGATATTTATTCTAAAAACGTAGCTTAAAAACTGTTTGAGTTTGACAAGACAGGTTCCTGGTTAAGTATGTGACTTATTGTTTCAAAAATAATGTATTTTATTTCTCCCAAAAGAAGATGTGAATTAGCTCTCTTTTACATGTTATCTGTTGCATACTAAGAAAGAACCCTGGGAGTCACTATTTGACTCTTTGAGAGGAGAGTTGATTGGCTGAGATACTTTTTACTTTTCTGTCTGATCTGATTTGAAAATGAGATGGGCCAATTAATCATTCTTCTTAAAACCAGTGATAGAACCAACCTGCTTTGAGAGCGAGAGGCTAGTTAGCTGGATTGTCATACCCCCAAAGTATTTAGAAACCATGTGGACAAGGGTCTAATCTTAATGTATACAATATTTAGCAGAAATACAAATTGTGCAATAACTTTTGTTTGTTGAGCAAATGTTTGCAAAACCAAATACATTTGTTTCTGGTGTGTAAATTGTGCATTTTGGATAAAAGTGCAATGATATATAGCATTGGCCTTTGAGCCTGAAGGTCGTAGGTTTGAGCCCACCACAAGACTTTCTCCACCGACTCCCACTGATGTCTGCTGTTGTGGTGTCCTTGGCAACTTGACACTTAACCTCTGGAAACACCTGATGCCACAGTGGGGCGGCTGCGGCTGTAAAGTGCCAAACTGCCAGTGTGTCCTTAGGCAAGACACTTCACCCCCATTGCCTAGAATGAGTCTGGTGTGTGTGTGAATGGTTGGTGGTGGTCGGAGGGGCCGATGGCACATACTGGTTGCCTCGCTTTTGTCAGTGTGCCCCAGGGCAGCTGTGGCTACAGCAGTAGTCTATCACCACCGTGTTTGGAGTTAATGAATAATGACATGTAAAGCGTCTTTGAGTGTCCAAAAAAGCGCTATATAAAACTGGTGCTTTTTTTATTTTTTTATATGTTGTATATTTATTATACATATATTTCTATTATATTTCTATTAATTTCGTTTTAAAATGTTTGATCAACCTTGAGATTGTTAGTCCATGGCTCTTTCCATGTACAACAATGCACTAATTAACAATAGATAAAAACTAATAATCTTAGTTTTTATCAGTTCAGGCAATCTCTTTACTGTATAACCCAAAATGCATTGTTTTTTCACCTGTCTCTGGGTGAAGGAAGTACTGTATCTCCAGACTACTCTCCCAATGTCCTGTTTAAGCATTATTGCAAAAACACAACTATGTATCCACCTTAAAGCTGATGTAAAAATGCATTCACTGTTTATGGTCCACAAAAGCTCCACCAAACAGATTCAAAACTCTTATTAGAATAGGCTGTGATTCATAAAAACTGCATCAATACTACTTTTCTGGTTGTATCTTGACTGTTTGTGTTTTGTGCGTGCAGATATCCGTGACAAGAAGATTCCTGTGTTGTTCTTTGCCAACAAGATGGACCTCCAGGACGCCATGTCGTCCAATAAGGTCACGCAGATGCTGTGTTTGGACAGCATCCAGGACAAACCATGGCACATCTGGTAAAGGGCCGCCTCACACCACACTGCACACTACACAGAGATTACAGGATCACTGCGGGAAGGAAGCAGGTGCTACTGGGGAATTACCACCGCTCTTTCTTCAGCTGGGTAAAAACCACATTAAATCCCACATATAAAGGGTAATGCTGGTATGGAGAGAGCTGAATTTTATTGCAGTTCTTAGATATTTAAATTTAAGTATTGTTTGGCCTCTGTCACATCTTTCAAATCAACTTTTTCAGACAGAAAAGTGAACAAAGGGGACCACTCTCGACTCTCAGTCCAAAATGTCAAATAGTGACTCACATGGCTCTTTCGTAACCTGTTTTATTTACAATATTTAACTTCTAGAAAATTGAAAGAAGTTAGTATCAACAGCTCATGAGTAAAGAAAAAACTTATCAAGATACCAGTTCTTCAAATTAATTGACCTTTTCTTTTTTCTAATAATTGTGGAACTAATTGAGGTGATTTTGTGGAAAACCAAATAGACTTTTATAATGCGCGTTGGTATTAAAGCCTTTGCCACATTCATTTTTGCTTTTAATATTAAAGCAGCAACCCATATATGTCCGATTTTCCTTTTCTTTCCCACAAATAGACTTTCAAAGCTTCATTTATCCAGGGTTTGGTTCTGACAGAAACAGCCTCATCCTATAAATCCCTGCGAGTGCAATCCGCATCGATAAACAAACTGGAAATGAAAACGTAGGTCATCCACAAGACGAAGCTGTAGTCGTTAAAAATCATTATTGACAAACTGCAAAACAGTGGTTTCTTTTACGGTTGGTGTGGATTTGTAGCTGTTTTCACGGTTTGCTCATTAGGCAGATGGAGCACAGATGGATTAGAGCCGCTCAGGTTTTAACTTTGAGATCCAGGAAAAGTCTGAGAAAGTGAGTGAGCGTGAGCCACAGCTTATCGTCTCGTGCCTTTTTCAGTGCCAGCAACGCAATCAAAGGAGACGGCCTGCAGGAAGGACTCGACTGGCTTCAAGGTACAACACCCAATTATTCTGACAAAGTTGATCGGTCAATCAAAGTGACGGGTTGAACTTCTGTTTCTGTTCAAATTAAGTTAAGGTCATTGTACTTAACAATTGGCTTTAAATTTCAATAAATCTAGTGGTGCCATTGCTTTTGTTTGTGAAATATTACCCTCACATCACACATCCCTTGCAGTGCATCTAGTATTTATTTAATTACATTATTTTGTATCTATTTTATTAATCTATGTTGAATAATTATAAAAACAACAAACAAAAATATATGTATTTATTGTAATTATTTTTATTAATGTTGTTGAAAGTCTTCTAATGTAACACAGAACCAATCATTAGGATAAAATTATTATGATAAAACTTATAGTTCTTCACTTATTTTTTTTATATTATGGGTCAATATTAGACATTTAAATAAAAATCTATCAGACATGTGAACTTTAAAAGAGAAGACTTTGCACTAAAGAGTTGTTTTTCTCTCGTTTCGTTGAAGGACAAATATCACAGTGAGTATAAAGTGTGATTAGGCGTGACTTGTTTCCAATCCATGTTATTTCAATGTTACGTGTATCCTCAGTATTTGAGTTGGTACTTAAAGCAGAATAGTTTCATAGTATCACAGTGAGTATAAAGTGTGATTAGGCGTGACTTGTTTCCAATCCATGTTATTTCCATGTTACGTGTATCCTCAGTATTTGAGTTGGTACTTAAAGCAGAATAGTTTCATAGATTGCGCATATTTAAACCCATTTCCAAGAATATGTTTTTAAATTTTTTTTTGTTAATTTCTCCCTGTTTTTGTCAATAGTACAAAAGTGACCCCCGCCTAAAACAGAAAATACATAAAGTAATTCCTGAATACTTTTTTGGAAATTTACAAAAATAGACAAAAGTGCTAACAATGTATAATCTTTTATTGTATATCTAAAACTCATATATTTCACTATTTTATCATTATGTCTCCCTCACCCAGACAAGTCCCGGTTTATTTTAAATTGGTGTGAAGAGCCTGAGAACCAGCGATGCAGTTGTTTTGCTGCCCTCTTGTGGTATAAGATAAGAACTCTCCTTTGCTGTTGTCAACAAATCCTCATATATTTGAATTAAAATAGTTGACAAATAATAAATTATTATTATTATAAACTATTAAATATTATGTTTACATTTAATTATACAATAAAAAGGAATAGTTTCACCCGTAATGAATGTCTACAGCTCCTGTTTTTACTACCACATCATCACATCTCTCCGATTAACTAGAGCCCAGAGAATATGTGAATTTAGTTTTTTATTACTTAATTAATCAAGCTAGGCAAAAATACGGACCCCAACCTCCACTAAAAATCTGCAAGTAATGAATTCCCTTTCTATTATCTTATCATGATTAAATTTCAAACTATACCTTTCAGTACCATCCACTTAAAGCATTTGACTAGTATAATTATATATTTAAGAAAAGCATTTTACAGTGTATACTAGGGCTGGGCGATATGGCAAAAAAAAAAATCTCCGATTTTTTCACACCAAATCCGATTTTCGATTTTAATCGATTTATTTTTTTCTATTTAAAAACAAACTACAACTGACAAAGAAATAGATTTTCCTTTATGCAGTTTAATCTAAATCCCCATGGAGCATAAGTGTAACAAGAATTAAGCCTTAAAACATGATTGTAAACGAGATGGCTCTGCCATTGTAAACAGTGAAAATGTAGCTTAACAGTTTTATAATAACTTCACTTACAATGACACTATGCACCTTCAAAATAACTTAAATCACACAAACAAGGCCCATCGCAAATATATCAATCCTATTAAACACATGCATTATTTACATGAAATATCACATTTTTAAAACTGATTACTCAAAATAGAAATGTTGTAACAGACAGTATTTTCCAAAAGCCTCCTCGGGTTTTCATGCTTGTTCTTTCAACTGTGCCTGAGTAACTGTGCTGTAGTACAACGCTCGGTCCAGCTGGTGGCGCTAATACTAACTTCAGTGACTCCCGCATTGTGCGAGCTTCCTGTTTACATTCTGATGCTGTAGCTAACAGCTACTGTAGCAGCTACTGTAGCTAACAGACAGCGGGGAACACGTTGTTTGTATCAGAGCAATGAGAGCAATGTGTGAGGCGTGTCTTTCCCCAAAGTGCAGCGGCTCAGTGGGACACGAGTGTGTGCGCGCCACGGACACGGGAGTGCGCTTTGGAATAACGAGCGTGAGAGAGCGTGAAAGATGTGGCGTACGACCGGAGCCTGTGTGTGTGTGTGTGTGTGTTTTGGCGATTAAATAAAGTCTGATTCTTGAACGTTTGAAGTGTTATTGCAACAGCACCAACTGTGAGAGCGAGCATCAGGCCAGAGGGAGACTGTTAGCATTAGGTTAGCTTCAAAATGACTGCTCAACACCATAGACCCGCGGTTAGCGCGTTAGCGCTGTAGTTCTGCAATGGAGAAAATAAAAATCGAATTTTTAAAAAAAGAAATCGCCCTAAACGTAAAACTCGAATTAATGATTAAAATCGATTAATCGCCCAGCCCTAGTGTATACATATAGTCTATTGCAGGCGTCTCCACCTTTTCTTCCCCCAGATTGCTACTTATCTGGACACTAAAGTGGCACAGACCTGGTAGCTTTAGTGATTTATAGAAATAAAGTCAATGTTGAGCTCTTTTTAATCCTCTAGACGCCACGGTTGCAATATGCAGCACTGTTTAAAACAACCGATTGTGTCGAAAACCCTTTTACTAGTCCTAGTGATTTGTGTCAGTAAAAATACATATATTTTTTATGAAAATCCATAATTGCCACCACCATTTGAAGTCATAATATGTAAACTAGATGGGTACATTTAATCCCGACATAAACCTATTATTTCTCTAATTTACGCAAAGCCTCCATCTCTTATCACTTTTAAATTTTTGAGAAATTAAGATGTAAAAAATGAGCTTTCTAGAAAAATAACCTCTGGCACTTAAAGGGTTAAATGAGGTCCAGATAGATTCCCATAAAGCAATCTATAATATAATAAGTAAGTAATCATTATTTATATACCACCTTTCACAGACCAGAGTCACAAAGCAGTTTACAATTGTGGGCATTTGTCTCTCACTCCACACAGAGATGGGAGCGGGGCCAGTACAGGAGGCACATGCCAGACCTATTGTACATGTTATTAGTGGCAGGGGAAACCGGAGTACCCGGAGGAAACCTACACAGACACGGGGAGAACATGCAAACTCCACTCAGAAAGGCTCTGTTCCGACCGGGATTCAAACCCAGGACCTACTTGCTGAGAGTGCTATCCACTCAGCCACTGTGCCGCACAAATATACATTTATCCGTGCACAAAGTAAACATCTGAAATTGTTTTAAGCATTCAGCACATTGTATTTCTAAATTCTTTGGCGAGGTACTGGGAAAATGAGACCCCAGTAGCTTTTTTTGTATTGGTGTTGTCTAATTGTGGTTGTGTCCTTCCAGGTCATATCAAAAGAATGAACACATGAACTGAATGAAGTCCTCGGGAGAGTTTCAGCCCATGACTATTACTACAAGCCTTAAATTTGTTCATATTAGATCAATTGCTTAAGCTTTTGTATCTTTGTAGGAGGAATTTCTATATGTGAGCGTCAGGTGTGAGGCCAGAAAACAGATTAGTATAACTTTTTATTATCAAAGCAAATGTGAATGTTTTGGATTTGGTGTGCAATATAATTTGTCTTATCAGTAAAGCAACATCCAAATGTGTTTTGAGTATTTATTTTACAAAAGTATGCCTTTACAATTTCATGTCAATAATTTAAATAGTAGCTGAGAATAAATTATGTGTGGCCAATAAATAGTATAAATAGAAAGTACATTCATTCAGCAGGTTTGGAGTAAAAACGCAAAACCTGCCACATCCAGATCTCTGTCTCCTTCACACTTCCGGACGCTTGAGAAACGTGTAGAGAAACTTTGAGTGAAACCGAGCGCTGGAGTCGAGGAGGATGCACAGTGTTTGGAATGTGTCTCCATCCAGGAAGTGCCCTGCATCACATACAGTACATTAGATTCCTTCTCATAACGTTCAGGCTCTTTACAAAGCAGAAGATGATGAAAAAGGCAAAAAAAACATTATTGAATTTACTTGAAAAAGGCTGAATTCATCTGTTTGTTATGGAAAAAAAACTTTGCACAAACTTTACAAAACAGGGAGTGAGTAAAACAAGTGCTTATGATAGCACCGAGCACAAAATTACCGACAATTTTTCCTTGATTTTAACTTTTTTAACTACTACAATACTTCCCAAAAGGTAAAATGGTATCAGCAAACCCACAGTGATACCATGCCTGAAGTATCAGCAAAATTTAATAAACCACCAATGAGTTGTTCTTTTAACCTGGAGATTTTAGAATGATGAAATGGTTGACAAAGCGTTTACTACTTCGCACTTTCATCTTTCCCTTTTACATGGGGGATCTGTGTGCAGACGGAAACGCAAAAGTCTGTCAAACTTCTGCTTTATCCATGTAAAATGCAAGGCAGGAGGCTGGAGGGCATAACACCAAGACCAAGAGGCTGTGATTTCTCTGTTCTTCATCCCGCAATGAAGAATCTTGTGAAATACTAACATGACACTGGAATAGTAATTACAGCTGCTCATTAGGAAATCTGTTTGTGACGTGAAATTGCAACATTCTTGTTAAAAATAGTAATATGGCAATAGTAAGTTTGTACACTTCTGTCTTTTGCCTCTGAGTGATTCCATCTATACCAAATGTGACTAATTGTAAATTTCTCCATTGTGAGATCAATAAAGTCTACCGTATCTTATCTTAATAGTTCGCACTGTGACAAGAGAGAGGAGCGTGTTCAAGATTAATGAAAGTGGTTTCAGAATTTTCCATTTATAAGTTCCAAAAAGGCTGTTGCTGTCTACTCTTAAGGATATGGACATCTGGATAAAACACCTCCTCAGTACAAGTTTTCCTAGATACAATCACTGTTATCTAGAGTTGCAAAAGAGAGTTCAATGTTAAAAACCAGAAAACAAATACGCTCTATATCCATTTCAGTCTCTAATAATAGCTATATTTAGGATGAGCAATGAACATATAAATACAGTAGTTTATGTGTTGAAAACAAACCTCCAACTGAAACCTCAAAAAGGTCCCTGGTGGTCTCTGCAAACGTGTTTTCCAGGTTTTGGAGAAACACTAACTTTGCCGGATCCGAGTTGAAGACTTGGCAGACCTGCTGCACCAGCTTCACTGCCCAGTTCATGTGGTAACCGTCCTTCTCACACACCTACAGCCAATGTCACACCGGTTACTGCATGTACTCACAAACGCTCATATACAGTACTGTAGTATCGTATGAACTAACTAGTATGATGTAAACGATGAGTCTGGAGATCTCCTGCAGACGACCGTTGAGGGCTTTGCTCGCGAGAAAAGTGTAGCAGAGATGACTTCCACAGAGCACCAAGAGTCGGGCCACGTTCTCCACGTGCCATGGCTGAGGGATCACTGCAGAAAATCACAACACCCCGTTAAGATCGTACTTAAATAAAATTATGTCTTAAGATCTGATTAAACTGAGTGATAGGAAGGTTGTGCAGCTGTGTAATTCAATACAAAGTGGGTATATGATTTACAGCACCATGGTCTCCAACCTTTTATTTATGGGGACAAAAAATGTAGCTCTATTATCAGTGACAAATATGTTTTTCTAGTCTTAAGTGTGATTAAGTTTGGTGCTCATAAAACACCTTATTATTCAGTAATTAAGACACAAATTGAAAGAATAAATATGATATGAATGCTGGTTAATTGTACTCTCTAAATCCTTCAGGGAGCTACTTGGAAAGTTTGAGTATGTAACCATTATAACCTGAGGGATGTGAGGGCTTGTCCTACTATTTGTTTTTGTTTTTTATTTAGACTTTATTAGGGACTCATATGCACCTATTGTGTACTTGAGGAAAACCCAATATAATGGTATCAGTACCAGTGAGCTCCTCGAGGATGCCCAGGATGGAGTCTGGGGACCAGCCTTTAACCTCCAGTTTGTTGAAAAGCAGCAGAAGCGCTCGAGCCAAGTCCCACAACTCATCGTTGGGGAGCACTCTGTCTACCATCTCCTGCCAACCAACTGTGCCTGCAATGGTGGAATAAAAGTTATGGCCAAGCCTTGGCAACCCAAGATGTCTGCCCATTCAAAGCAATGGTCTCTACTTTTTGGCTTATGATCTCACAATGGAGGCCAAAATATTAGCAAAGTTGACGCATTCCTCCCGGTCTTGTCCAGTAAGTACAAGTGATAACACAATACATCTATGAAAGCAACTGAACCAAAACCCTTTTTGTGAACACCAGACTACAACATTCTCTCTTTATCTTCTTAAAAAACATGTTGTCCTTTTCATGTAAGACTCCCTTGCAGTCATCAATTGACACTTTGGGCTGAGAACTGATTGATCGAGTGAGGGTGCTCCTCTTCTTTTCACTCTTCTGTTTGAAAAAGCAGAGGATAGAGGCCAAAAAATCCATGCATGTGAAAACTAGTGATAGAATCCAACTTTTTTGAGAGTGTGGACTAGTTATTATAGATTTTACCCCCTCATAATTGAACAGCCCAATTGAACCTATTGTCAGGCCGATGTGGCGTGCACCTTCTTCAGGCAGCAGGGGTCCATAGAGGATGAGCAGCAGATGAGCCTGACTGACCATCGGCCACAGCTTCAGCAGCTCAATTAACCAGAACTGACACTCCAGGCGGTTCGACCAGGGATCTAAGAGCACTTTACGGCAAAACAGCCGGATTTCCACCTCCGGGAAGCAGTGCGCCCCTAACACACAAAAGAATAGTTACCTCTTTGCATAGTTCATATTTTTGAACAAGCTGTGAATTTGCATGTTTATGTTTTAATTTTAAATCTTACCGGGTTTGCTGTGGATGACAGTGTCAGTTTTTGGCAGGATGTTTGTGAGATCACACAGGAAATTGAACACTCTGCGGCATTCCAGCTCATCCCATCCTGCGATCAGTGTCTGAAAATAAATATGTCGTGGGTAACTTTAAAAATAAAACAGGCGAGCTCGGATTCCAGTGCTTAGGTGGGTTTATTTTCTATTCTCTTTCTAATAATTAAATATTTGAAACTGGAAGTACAGTATGAACAGGCAACGAACATATGGGCCCATACCCTAATTGGTCCAAAACACCGTCAAAATATGCACACTTAATTATGCGTATCACATGAGCACAATCCCAGCGCTACCAGGGCGCATTTAACCCACCAGGAAGTACTGTCCTGGTTCGACCCTCGCGCACAGACCCAGAGGAGCGTGACAGACCGGTAGGTGTGTAAATGTATGCTCTTAATGTATTTCTAACCATCACAAGTGTGCACCTTTGGCGAACTAGTAACTGAGGGGAGAGACAGACGAGAGAATGGATGCGTGTGGATGTTACGTATGAACGGAACAGTAACAGCAACGGTATTTAATAAAGATAAATCTGATGTTATGAAAATATGAGGTAATTCATGCTTCAACATTTTCGTATGACATGCCACTATACATACATACATACAAAGACAAAGATGCCTCATTTTACCTGAAGAAAGCCACCAAGACATGCAAATCCAAGGCAGTCTTGAACAAAGCAATGCTCCAACATAAAACAAGGAATCTGAATGAGAAGAGACATAGAGAGGGCATTACAATATAATGGAACATGAAATGTAGACATATATATATGCATATTGCAATAACAGACCTCTGAGAATCTACTGAAGATAAACTTTAGCCTGTCCTTTGTCGGAAGCAGCAATGTGCATCTCTTAAACAACAGCCCTGAGAAAGACAGGATTGCAACATAAATGTCCTGTACACTTAGAGAAGACATGCTCCAGTCAATAGTGAGAATCTATGACACAAGTGGCTCATTATTAAATGCTTTGTAAATTTGACAGCTCATATTGATCTAAAACAATGTTACAAAAATATAGAGAATATACATTACTCAAACATATATAAAACCAAATGAATGTATGTAAATGACAAGCAAAAACAACTACAAAAGTCAAAAGCCTTCTTACCTAGCGCTTTGTAGTGGCCGATGGTGGCCTGCTGCTCCTGATAAGTTGGGTGATGAAATTCTTTTGTGATCTCTTTGTTTGTCCACTTTTGAGTTGAGATGTAGTTCACAACATAACTGGTGGTTTCTTTAGACGTCATTCCAAACACACTCAACTCAAGCACTGAAACACACACAAGAATATTATTAATATGTTTTGTTTTATTTCACAAATTGATGAGACTGAGATGTACTCTTCTTCTCAGAGATGAATAATATAGACTAGTATTAATCTGTAAGATCCATAAAAAAAGCTTCAAGTTAGTGCTTTCTGTGGACAGACTATGTTGGGACAAGCAAAATGTATTATTCGTTTAAGAGCTAAGTACAGTACCAAGCTTTATTAAGCAAAATATAAAGATTTTTTTATTTATTTTTCAAGTATAGAGTTGTTGAAAAATGAAATGCATTACACATGCTTTAGATACATAGCAAAAGTAGATACCAGAGTTACCCATAAGTAGTCAATAACACAAAAAAGTCCGTAAATGTCCGCTGCTACTGCAGAATGTCACAAAACCAATGTTATTATAGATCCATGCACAGAAGTCACTCTTGTTTGGTTCCAGCTTGTTTGTCCAGTGAAGGGGGCACTACTTAAACACTGATTAGTTCATGCCCGTACCATTAACAGAGCTCCAAGACAGCCATTTTAGATGTCACAACCAGCGATGTCACAACGCGATGTGTTACGTGCAAAGCGCCCAGTTTGCCTGCATTTATTGAATAATATTTTTTTGCATAATGTATTATCTAAAGATTAGAGATTGATTATAGTTATATACCCAACCATTAGCCATTGAATAATCTTTTCTGTCCTGTTATTCATTCACAAAGTCTCAAACATGACATGTCCTACAGTATATGTAACAATTATGTCCCCTAAAGTTCAATAAGAATTTTTTTTTTATGGTTTTGAGCTGCCCATCTCAAATCATTCTATGTACATTTGTAAACTACTTAGTATTAAAGAAATATTAGGTACAAACATTATTGGTTCGTGCATGTATATAATTTCCACTTGAAGTAACATTTGGCCTAGATCCATGCATTTATCCCCACCGCTGTCAGACTGTACAATAAGTCACTTTAAGTCACTGCACTAAGACGGATAAAACCTGCACTACTATTGGCACTACTATTGACACTTCTTCTCATTGCCACTTTCTAATTACCACTTTTTTGTACATAATATGTCCTGTCCTGTTTGCACATTTCTTACTTTCTGCACAATCTGAGTGTTTCTATCCTTGCCAAACGTGGAATGTATATTTCTCCTGTCTGAGATTAATTAAGTACATCTTATCTTATCTTATTTGACGAATTGTAAAGTTTAGTGTGGAATGAGCCAGATACGAGAGCGTTTTCCCATGATACAGAACTTAAGTAGATACCAGAGAGTTTTCCCAGTATGATGTCCACCACTTCTGAGGGGAGCCGGTGAAAGAGACTGTCCCTGGAGCAGCTGCTGTTCTGGCTGCGCGTCTGCATCCTCCTCCCCGGGGCACACCGAGACCTGCTGTAAGGGCCGTATTTTTGTGTGTCCCTCTTGTAAGTACGGGAACTCGGCTTTAATTTCACCATGGCCTTTCCTGGGAATAACCAAGAACAAAAAGGCAAAAAAAACGTATTACGACAGGTTATGAATGCTAGCTAGTGTACCATAGAGTACCAGAGTGATTCATAGTTATAACTATATATGTAACTATGAAATACTTGTGAAATACCGTTAGATGTAAACTAAATATAAAGGGGACATTACCAATTTAATCCGAGTAAAGACAGAAAACAACTGCAGTATATTTCCCGGAATCCCAGTGAACTCTAGTGGCGCGAAAGAAGGGACATGTGCGTGAAAAAAAATAAAAATTTGTGGAAATTAGATTTTATTTTTCATTATTATTATTAGTTTGGGGTGAAAACGATTCTATAAAGTTGGTGTGTGTATGATTAGTAATTTTAAAATGACCTACATTAAATAAAATAATACTTTGATATTGGTGTTTTTACTTCCGGAATGGGCGTGGTTATTTAGCCTCAACGCGCGAAACCTAAATTATTCCACAAATTACTCAAATGGGTATAACATTCCATTGTGTAACCATCGTGGTTTACTGTAATGACAGGAGATGGTCTTTCTTTGCCTGTAAAAATAAGACATTAATATAAACTTGGCCTTTTCTATCTCTGTATATGCCATCTCCATGGAGTGGACAGAGTCGACCTAACCAGGTTACAGACGTGCCCACTCGTAAAAAAGTAAGTGTTTGTTTATTCTTGTAAATATTGCATGGTATTATTGAGCTTATAAACAATTAAATGTAATAAATGCAGGGCCTATGTCAAATATCAGGCCAATGTCAATGATAACATATAGTGTGTATTGTATAGTGTACGTTTTTAGATGTTCTAAAATCACCAATATGTTTTGAGGAGAGACGATGAGAGGTTTTTTTATTATTATTATTTAGTAAGTAATGTTTATTTATATACCACCTATCACAGACCAGAGTCACAAAGCGGTTTACAATTGTTTTTTGTTTTTTTGGGGGGCATTTGTCCACTCACTCCACACAGAGATGGGAGCGGGGTCCCCAGTACAGGAGGCGAATGCCAGACCTACTGTATTGCACATGTTTTTAGTGGTAGGGGTAACCGGAGTATCCGGAGGAAACCTACGCAGACACGGGGAGAACATGCAAATTCCACTCAGAAAGACCCTGGTCCAACCGGGATTCTAACCCAGGACCTTCTTGCTGAGAGGCAAGAGTGCTATCCACTCAGCCGCCAGTAACTCACTTCTCCTTTCTGACACCAAAGTCTTTTTTATGTGTTAATAATCTTGAATAGTGCTGGTTATGGAAAAGTCATTGATTATTTCAAATATAATCCTATTTATTTTTTGATAGATAACTTTCCGATACAACACAGGTCCAAAGGGTAAAACATATATATGGATCCTAGACTGTAAGTATGGATGCATTACAACATTAATTGACATTTACTCACTTTTATGCCTTGTGAGTTTACAATGTACTCCAAACTCACTATGAGTAAGTTCACCTCCTAATCACAGGATTACACAGTTTAACTAAGACTCTTACGCCTTCTTCGTGCAAATGGCGTCTCCCACTGGCAGCGCTTCACACGGATCATCCCATATCTGTCACTGCACAGCTCTCCCAATGGACAGAGGACCGAGGCTGGTCAATGGGCAACACAAACTACCGTATGTGGTTGTGAAATAGTTAGTAACCACTGGGAGCAGACAGTGTTTTGAACCTGGACCTCAGGCTCAGGCAGAGGAGAAATGCTATTTGAATTACTTGGATACCAGTAAGTAACAATAACATCAACACTTTGTTTCTTTGTAGTTTAGATTTTAAGTAGTAGTATAAATTCTATTGGTAACAAAAGTAGACAAATTTGTGTACAATATATTGTGAGTTTTTTTAGTTGAAGTAAATCTACCTCATGCATTCATTTGTATCCCAATCCATGACCTCTTACTCCTGCTCTCATGGAGATTATTAGTGTTAATTGATTATATTGAAATTCCTTGTTACTCATTAAAAGTGTTCTCCATTGAACTGACTGAATGTTTTCCGTATCAGACAGACGCAGAGACAGACGGGATCTGATCTGTTGAGAATCTTTGCCAATATCTTTTGTTCTGGATCCACTCCAAGCTCCATTGGACCCATGTCCTGCCCAGCCACCTGTAAGCATGCATCACTAATCCAGCTATAACCTAATCAGTAAGTATTTAGAACTACATAAAGTGTTTTTCTGCAGTTCAGTAGTTTATATTACAGCAACAGAAAAGGAGACTGGTGTAGAGGGAGGATGTGGATGCAGTCAATCAATAAGTGACAACAATAAGGCCTGTTTGTTGGACTTAAGTGGCTCCAACAATGCCACTTTTTACATGGGAAACAATCGCTTTTCTGTACTGTGTTACAGTGACGATTACACTAATATAAACTGTTAGGACAAAGGCACTGCAAAAGGTTTTCTTCCTGATTCTCGAAAGTTTGTTCAAAATGTCACTGGTTGTGCACTTTATAAAGTCATATAATATGTATTTTATTTACTGTATGATTAACCAATGTAAAAACAGTTAACACAGGCAACCGTGAACAGTAGTGTGTTCAAAGTCATATAAAGCTTAGTGTGCTAAAAATAAATTATTAACTTGCGTTTTAAAGCTGTTCTTTTTTTCAGGCTGGCATTTTATTATTTGAAGGAGATCTTAACCATTATCACTTGACCAATATCACTTGTGTTGTCATAACTCTCTGGAACCTTACACTGTCTCTTAAGGAGTGTCTTATTTGTAACCACCTACTGTATTCTTTTAAAAGCAGTGGATGTTTTGAACAAGATTTCAAGCTTGGGCACTTTCTGTAAATGTTTAATTCCCTGTCCCCCTTAGTTCTTGTGGGAGGACTCCAGGGTAGATTTTTAAACAGGTGAAGCTGAACAATGCTCTCATTAGTTACACTTGCGGTCACCTGCCACTCACACATATGGCACCAAACTGAACATTTATTCTGCTATTTCTGAGCAAACTCGAGGGAGATTTTAGGATGCTTCGTCAACTTGATGTAAGCTCATTGGTTTTGTCCCGTTATTATAATAGCTCCATGGATATGTCTCTACAGGGTGAGACATGAAGATCACACTTCTAGGAAGTCAATGCTTTTTTACAGATTGTATTATTGGACTGGATACAATTTTAATTTGTTTTTCATTCAATTGGTTTATATTTGTTTATGATAATGTTGCTTTTTTGATTTAAATATCTTCCAAAATCCTGTAGGCTGTAAAGTTTAGGTGAAGCTAATTGTAAAAGCTATTTGTACTTGTGTTGATTGGAAAGTATTAAGAATTAGTATGAGGAAATGAACTTTTCATGCATAAGAACAGGAAAGGAAATATTATGGAGCTATTTTTGTAAACATCTTGACACAGATCATGATCAAGAATAGGGTGCGATAACGAACAAAAACTCTTCAAATGTCTGTTGCTTACTTCCAAAAGGGTTTTAGGGTTTGATTTTCCTTTTTCATGCAATTTTGGACCATTTGTAATCGTCAATGCTAACGTATTTGGTCATCAATCTGAAACCCATGGTTCATTTGTTTTCTGTCTCGTAGTTGTGAGGCGTGTGTGAGGAGGGCAGACATGGCCAACATGGCGGGGCAGGTCCTGGGCTTCTTCTTGGGGGTGCTGGGGTTTGTGGGAACTGTAGTGTCTACCGTCCTGCCACATTGGAGGAGCACTGCTTATGTGGGCTCAAACATCATCACCGCCACGTCCTACATGAAGGGCCTGTGGATGGAGTGTGTGTGGCACAGCACGGGCATCTATCAGTGTGAGGTGTACCGCTCCATGCTAGCACTGCCCCGCGACCTGCAGGTGAGAGCAGATATAACACAAACAACAGCAAAAAGTATTCCCAATCACTGGTTCTGATTCCATACATCTCTGGTCCTCTGGTTAACCAGTGGGGTTGAGATCCAAAACTGACTTCTCATTTGGATTGATGGATCCTTATTGGAATACACAGAAGTCAAACAAAATCTAAAAGAATCTCAGCCTCTCTCCTATTTGTCGTTTATCCTGTAGCTCAAGGTAGACTTTACTTTATTGTCCTGGTAGAGAAATTTGTCCTCTGGATTTGACTCGTCTTGCAATACCACTCTGCCATCATGCCGCGGAAGTTTAGCCGACACATTGAATTATATTGACCAGTATATTGCATTGTCCTCATTGTTCAACTCATAAATTTTCAGGAAAATATGTTTATTGGATTATGTATGTACTCATGATGATGCTTTTTTTTCCCCAAGACAGATTGGAACTAACTAGGTTTAGTTACTGGTTAATCTGAACCAAAACACCAACCAAGTTACTGTATATCCATTACTGCAATGACATGGTATAAAGTGTACTGTTTTACTCCTGCATGTGATTTGTATATACTTCTATTATTTACTTTATATTAATTATAAATAATAATAATTTTGTTACTCAAGTAAAAAAAAAATAGCGTCATTATGTAATACCCGGGAAGTGTATTTGTTTTTTATTTACTTATTTGACAGGGACAATGTAGTCAGGGTGTGAAGCTAATGCTAATTTTCAACCTCTGTCCCTCTTTGAGCTTTTCCCTATTGTGCAACACATTTTACAGAATAAAATAGACAGCCCTAAAGCACATATTTACAAAAGTGATCTAACATTAAGACCCTCCATTATCAACAATGTCTTTCCGGGTTCTATTACAGTAGTACTCCCTCTAGCTTTAAGCCTTGGAAAACAGTCCTTTAATTTACAACTTCTAAAGAAAACATCCACCTTCTTTTGTACAATTCTGGTCATATTTGACAGAACGTTCCTATTTTTACCCTTTGGCAGGCGGCCCGAGCTCTCATGGTCCTGTCTTGCATCACCTCTGTCCTGGCTGCTGTGGTTTGCGTTTTGGGGATGAAGTGCACACATTTCGCACACCACTCCATCATCAAGACTCCCCTGGCTCTGAGTGGAGGGATCTGCTTCATCTGTGCCGGTATCCTCTGCCTGGTCACCGTTGTATGGACCACCAACGACGTAATAATGGAGTTCTATGACCCGTTCCTCCCATCCGGGTTTAAATATGAGATAGGGTTGTGTGTGTACATTGGCTACGCCGCATCGTGCCTCAGTCTGGTGGCCGGGCTGGTGATTTGTTGGAGCAGCGGTGGGAGAAGTCGGTCCAGACGTCCAGAGTTTCACACACAGAGGAGTCAACCTGTGTCCCCTCCTCCAGCTTTCAACAATATCTACCCTCCCGCTCCTCCCTACAACCCCCCAGAGGCACTGAAGGATAACCGTGCTCCTTCGATGACCTCTTTGTCCAGTAATGGATACAGACTCAATAACTATGTTTAAAGTTCACACTGTGTAGAGGCGGTCACTCCCTGCAAAACTCGTGAAATATTAGTCACTAAATCAGGGGTCTCCAACCTTTTTCGATTGTAGAGCTACTTTTATACACCAAAAGAGGCAGAGAGCTACTCCCTTTTTGCAGTCGTAATAAAAAATCGATGTAGTATTTACGACAAAAAATAAAGAACACATGAATGTACCATAATACTGTAAAACCATATATTTATACTTATGATAGATATGTAATCACTCCAAATGTATTCATTTGTTAAATTCTAAATCCTTTGGGGAGCTACCTGAAAGGGGCTGGCGAGCTACTGGTAGGTCCTGAGCCACAGGTTGGAGACCCCTGCACTAAATGGTACATGCTTTTTATCTTGATTAAAACATAGTTTCTGCCAAAGTGACAAGCAAACATTTTGTTATTTCAAGAGAGGTAGCAATGTTTTTTCTCTTTCCAAGTGAGATTTTGCAAATGTCAACAATCCTTTTTACTCTTGTCCCATTGGCAAATCTTGGTTTAGGTTTGAAACATTTACTTAAATTAAGATGAGTGTTACCTATGTCAAGAAACTTATTTCCTTTTATGTTATTTGCAATGTTGCACCTTATAGTCTTTACTTGTGATAGAATTATACACACATTCCTTAAGAATATTATCATTGCTTGAAATAAATTATTTTTCTTGTTATTAATGGTTCACTCCTTGGATGAAATGGTACAAGGGGGAGTCCTACATCGTGATAGGTTTAGTTGCACTGAACATAAATATATTAACTTTGCCTTGTTAGAAGATAAATGCACCTTAAATGAAATGTGTCATAATATTATTTTGAATTTGTGTTTTGTCTAATCAATTCTATTTAATTAAAATAGAAATGTTATATAACTTAAAATAGTGACTGTTCATTTACTTTATTGCACTATGAGAAACCGTCACTAGATGGAGCCAAAGAATCTTTGTGAATGAGGTGCCGCGTTACTGTCAACAACTTCTTCTGAGGTCTTTTTTGTGCTAAAGCCTGTTACAGATAACTAGACAGCCGTGTTAGTCCCACCTTTTCATGGCACTGGATACAGTTATTATTTTTGACAGCAAGACTTTATTTAACCTTGTGTATATTTAGTTAAACCTCTTCCAATTAAAGCTGGCTCTGGCTGCTTTTCTGACAGCCACGCGCTTAATAAAGGGAATTGTCACAATTCGTGCAATTGACAAACAAAGATGTTGTATTACACACCGTTCATTGGCCATAAAGAAATCTATTATAGCTAAAGAATATGTTTATTTTTGTACATATATATTTCAAGTAAATCCAATTGGATTGTGAGAGTAAAGAGCAGACTCATTTCAGCACCAGGGATAGCGCCAACCCAAACTTCTCCTATAACGCCACGGGAATGCTGCTCTGCTCAGGCCAATACCTCTCAATACCTCTTGATGAAAACAAATTGAAAGGAAAAATATAAACTGTCCAATTCCTGAATTTAGCGGCCAAATAAAAAAAATGTTGAATTGGGCAGTGGAAACAAGAATGATACCGTTTGTTGTCACTAAAAGTCAATATTATCTTCATCCATAAATTGCTATGTGAATACTTTGCGTCCAGTTTTTAGCCCATGTCTGCATTAAACTGGGACGCCGCAAACAGACACATAAATCAGCTCTTATAGGCGTAACCTGGAAGTAAGGTTTGTCGATGTAATATTCTGATATTGGAACAGTTTTCCTGGGCGTTGGAGCCGTGCGTCACGCCACTCTCTATTAGAAGCTATTTTGGTCCATGGGCCTGGAAGACATTCATAACCGCGCGTACCCAACCTGACAGCACCCAATAAACCCACCACTCCCATTCATCCACACCCCCTCCTCTCCACAAGCAGCTCTCTCCATCGTGCGCGCTTTGAAACAACACAGGGCAATTGGGTTCGTTCATCCTAAAGAAACCGCCGTTGTGAATTTTTTGTTCCACTTTTGAACATTTTGTGTGTTTTATGAGTCTGACTGTGCCTGCAAAGAAAAGGTAAGTTTGCTGATTGCATTTTGTCTCGAATTCGTTGGCGCGTTGTTTAACTAAAATACGTCCACTCAGTAACTGCACCTAATTGAAGACAGGCGTTGATTTAGCGCAATCAATATTGTTCTACTGGACTGACACCTGGAACCACAGAGTCAGTGGAAACGCAGGAGGAACTACACAAGCCGACTGAGGCTGATTTTAGCTTTATTTGACCATATAGACCGTGCGTAATGGGCACTTTTACAGTACGCACAGCTCTATCGTGGGCTATTCTGTGCAGAGAGAGACATAAGACAAAAAGATACTACTCCAGCTATGTTTCCAAAAGTGGTCCCTTGTTAAGTAACCATAACTGACCAAACAAAATGCTTTGTATGAAATAACTACTGAGAGACATTGCACATTTTTCGCTTGGCACTTTGAATATTAGGCTCTTAAACTTAAGTGTCCCCTAAATGTGATTACATAATCGAAAAAAAAAACTATTCGAGACCATGTAAACCCACAAATGAGCTGTGCGTTTTGCCATTTATAGTCTGAAATCAACGTAGTCATCTTGGATTCCAGTTGAAACCAATTAAAAATAATCCCTACACAGTGTGGTAACTACCGTTTCATAATTCTTGAAATGACTGTATAATCTCTCAGTGCCTCTGTAAGATAATAAAGTAATTAAGACAAGTGTTGTAAGTGACTATTCTCGTAGTCATGTTAATTTCCCATTCACAAAAGAAAGATTAGTCTTGGTTCAGTCGAGTCCCGCGCGCTCACTTGTCCGTTACGCATCTGTCCTCAGCTCATGACGCTCCAGTCCCAGGCGCACACTCGCACTTGATCTCGGCTCCGGGACCAAGAGAAGATGGCATTTCACGCGGAGGGTCTCGTGGCAATTGTTGTTTTTTATCTTTTGATTTTATTTGTGGGGATTTGGGCTGCGTGGAAGAACAAGAACTCGGGAATTACTGCAGATGGAGACCGTTGCGAGAGAATCATGGTCGGAGGAAGGGACATTGGATTGTTCGTTGGCGGATTCACGATGACTGGTAAGGGCTTTCTTTACGGGGTTTGACTAGAGATTGGTCACAAAACCTAGATATTAAAAGTTTCAGAAATCCTTAACACCTCATATTTTAAGTTTAGACAGTAAGAAAGTAAAACCATGTGTAAGGTGCAAATACAGGTGACACTTGAGGCTTTTATACAAATTAAAATCCCTTCTTGTTCTTTCCAGCCACATGGGTTGGTGGAGGCTACATCAACGGGACAGCAGAGTACGTGTATCTTCCAGACTATGGACTGGCCTGGGCACAAGCTCCGTTTGGATACGCTCTCAGTCTAATAGTGGGTAAGGACACACTTCTACTTTCCTGATAGTCATGGTTCATCAAAGTACCATGGAGAGGGCTTTGCTGAAATTAGTTTTAAATGAACTACAATTCTAATTGGCCACTGCTGTTCATGCTTGTCAAACCAACTTAACTAACTGGTGGTGTAAGCTATTTTGAGTAGACCAATTCAATTATGAGGATCCAATGGCAAAGTGGGTTGTCTTTACCTTTATGAATCAACAAACCTCAAATACACCCAGATAGTATACTTGCTGACTCAATGAGAACCTTCCATTCATTCATTAGACGCCTGGCCATTTGTGTGACTTTCCTAAATGGTTTGCATCACTCAGGGGGCCTTTTCTTTGCCAAGCCCATGCGTTCTCGAGGATACGTCACTATGTTGGACCCATTCCAGCAGCTGTACGGGAAGAGGATGGGTGGACTGCTCTTCATCCCTGCGCTCATGGGGGAAATCTTCTGGTCAGCCGCCGTTTTGTCTGCCCTGGGTATGTTCCTAATCAGATAGCATCCATTGATATTCCTTCATTAACTTGAGTGGTAAATAAAACCGGTCTTGTGTGCAGGAGCTACCCTGAGCGTCATTGTGGACATAAACATCAACATGTCAGTCATCATTTCAGCGCTCATAGCCATCTTCTACACTCTGGTGGGAGGGCTGTACTCTGTGGCCTACACAGATGTGGTCCAGCTCTTCTGTATTTTTCTAGGACTGGTGAGTTTGAAGCACGGTACAAATAAAGACTTTTTACGTTGCGGGCAGGGAAAATATCCTAGAACAAAAGGGAGGTTGACGCGCACATCCAATTCAATTTGGAGAGACGAGAAAACGAAAATGCTTTTGAGTATTTTAATGAGAGGTGGTTTGGCGCCCTAGGCCCCGGTGCGGCCTTCAGTCGGAGAGGCTCCTGCGATGGAGCGCGTACAATCCCCCGGGACCTAGGCGCTGGTGGCGGCATTTTGGCAGCGGGAAGCAGATTGGAGGCAGATTGGAGGCAGATTGGAGGCAGGGTGAAGAGGAGGAGGAGGGGAGGCGGTGGTTGCAAGGCTTCGGGAGGCCGTGAAGTGGGAGTTTCTCCGCTTTTAAGCGGCTGGCCTGTCCGGCAGGATGATTGGAAGGGGGCGTTTGCTGTGCGATAGGCTGGGGATGCGAGTCGGCCCGGAGGGGGTAGCTTTTGGCTGACGTCTTCTAAATTGAATTTCCGCGAGCTGCATATCTGAGAAGTGTGCAAAAAGCATGTTTTCAAGAAATTTCAAAAAATAGAGATGACCCTGCACAGCTTTCTCTCCCAAGAAAGCTGTGCAGGGTCATCTCTATTTTTTCAGGGGAAATATCGTCCCATTAGGATCAAACCTTGGATGACAAATGTATTGTTTGTGTATTCTTCTATTCTAAGTTTAAAACGGGCATAGTGACTCGCACCCCTGTAATATCATAGATTTTATTTTTGTGACGAATGCATTGACTGTAGAAGAAATGGGCTATGCTGACATCACCCAAAGTGTTTGCTTTAATGCGGATGAAGCCGCTTAGCCATACATCTTAAACAGAGCCAAATTTATAGCAATTACTCATTAGTGTCTCAGTTGGTATAGCTATGGCCTTTGAGCCTGAAGGTTGTGGGTTCGAGCCCACTACAAGACTGGTTGGTGGTGGTTGGAGGGGCTGACGGCACATAATGGTTGCCTCACTTCTGTGAGTGTGCCACAGAGCAGCTGTGGCTACTGTAGTAGTAAAATATGTGATAGCATTACAAGACTAACGAAGGTCTTCTGTGTGCAGTGGGTCAGCGTGCCTTTTGCCATGTCCAACCCGGCCGTGACAGACATCGGCATCACCGCTAAAGAAGTGATCTACCAGAGCTCGTGGCTGGGGAAGATTGTGCCTGAGGACAAGTGGCTGTGGGCGGATAACTTCTGTCTACTAGTACGTCACAAGTCCAGCCTTCTCCTCTCCTGTCCTGCGTGTGAGAGACTGACTGACTGACTGATTGTCTGTCTGCAGATCATGGGCGGGATTCCGTGGCAGGTGTATTTCCAGAGGGTTCTTTCAGCGTCTTCAGCCACATACGCACAGGTGCTCTCCTTCCTCGCTGCGTTCGGCTGCCTCGTCATGGCTGTGCCCTCAGTGCTTATTGGAGCCATAGGAGCCTCCACTGGTAATTACTAAAGTTTTGGTCAACTCATATTGTTCTATTTGCCACATAACGATACGATGTTATTGGTTTGTAACAATTTATAGGCCCATGTATTCTTGAGTTATGTTTTAGCACTATTGGAGTTCAGTTTGTTCGAACAAACTTTAGGATGCAATTGTTGATATTTTTGACATATTAAAGACATTTCTAAACCCGAAGACAAACAAAACAAATCATGATAACACAAACAGAGAAATATATAAAAGAAAGTCCAAAACAAACAGGTTGTTAATCCTTGAATGAGCTCATGTCAAAGCACGTTCAGAAAGCAGCTTTTATATTTTCAGTTTTAAACACATGTTGGCTCCTAATGTTGTATGTTGTGGTTGGAGGTTTTTAAAATATACTGTGTACTGTACAATGAACAATCTTGATAGAAAGCTTTCCAAGAAGGTTTGTATTGGTTAAATTCTTAAAGGTTTTTTTTTAGCGTTGCGATATACAGTACTGGGTAAGTAATTAGTTACACATTACTGATTACTGTGTCAAGAGAATCACTGAGTAACATTATTTTCAGATAACTTTTGTCGTAATGAACACATATAACAGAAACAACTAATGAGTGATTAGCCCAAATGATATGACTAAACGGCAATATTATGATATTATTATGCAGCTTCAAAATGCTCCATGTTGAAGCTACATCTGTTTAATCAGTGAGAAATATTTCCCCAAGCAACTATATCCAAGATTTATTATAGGGTGTTTTGAGTAGTGACTGTGTATATTCAAATGACTGTTACACTACAAGCGCTTTGGGTGATCATGGTCTGTAAAAATGCGCTATATAGAAAATGATGACTTACTTACTTACTTACATACACTAATTTGGATTGAAAGTGGTTCACAGCCCACCATGACCCATATTGGGTGGGCTTGAACTTATAACACTGGTAATCTTGGTAATCAAAAGGCTTTGCTGCCACACAACAGTTGGAGCCTACATATGTGTCGTAAAAAAAAACACACAAAAAACATAATGATAAAGTTGTACGGACATAGAGCAGTTGATCTATTAGGACTAAATTGCAGATGAAACCGCACCAACTTTTCATTTAATCTTTGAATTAGGTGCACACACACACGCACACACAAACACACACACACGTTGATTAAGCATTTAATGAAACATCACAAGTCAGTGGCTGGGTCCAAGAGATAGATCCTTTATTCAAACAGGCGCTCAGATCAAAGCAGAGCCGACATGTTTACTGAAGCTTTTTAGACATGGAAAAATACAGGAGGGAGGGGGCCACTGTAGGAAAGAGGGAGGGGGCCAGTGTAGGAAAGAGGGAGGGGGCCAGTGTAGGAAAGAGAGAGGGGGGCAGTGTAGGAAAGAGGGAGGGGGCCAGTGTAGGAAAGAGAGAGGAGGGCCAGTCTACGGGAGAGCACTAGAGCATGCTGTGGTGAAACAGTGAATATTGCATCCGAGGAGGAGCATGTTATTATGGTCCCAGTAAAGCAGTTTGTATTCAATCACTAATTAGCTTGTACGATGTAGAGATAGAGGCAGGAAGACAGGAAAGAGAGAGATATCTTAATGTTTTATGTTTGCTGGGATGGTCGGTGGGTTCAGATTGATGTGAGGCGCAGGAGAAAGAGCAAACATGATTCACTGTCCTGCTGAGAGACGTAAAGGCCAGCAGACTCCCTGGTCCCAGTCAGCAGAGATTAAACACTCCCAGTTCACCTGCTTTGTACAATCCACATTACTGTATAATAATCCACATTACTGTATAATAATCCACATTACTTCATAATAATCCACATTACTTCATAATAATCCACATTACTGTATAATAATCCACATTACTGTATAATAATCTACATTACTGTAAAACAATCCACATTACTGTATAATAATCCACATTACTGTATAATAATCCACATTACTGTAAAACAATCCACATTACTGTATAATAATCCACATTATTATATGACTTGGACCGTACGCGCGCTCTGTGTAGCTGATTACCGGTCTGATATTTTCCCATCTCGAGACCGTTACCATGACAATCAGTCCGCAGCGCGTATCACAATTGATTTCTTTCTTGAAACAATTGATTTCTTTCTTTCTTTCCTCGGTAAAAAAGAAATAATGGGCAACAACTCCAGTGAATTCTATTATCCGGACGAGTTTGACGAGCCAGAGGAAGAAATTACAGAAAATAACTAAGAAAAAATAACAAACAAGAAGAGATTGACAACTTTGTTGCAGACCAGAAAGCTAAAAACACGATTAGGAAAACCAAGTCGGAGATTGATATTTGTATAAATTAAAAATAGTCATATAATAAAACATTTATTAACCTTGCTTGCTCGGTCTGTGCAGAGAAATATCAGACCTTGGCCTTTTTGCACAGAACTCGCCACGGCTCGGTCTGTACATTAAGGCCGCGGTCTGATATTTCTCCATACAGACCTCGCGCTCGGTTAATAAGCCGTTATTACTGTCTGACACCAACGCAGTGAACTCTATTGAGAAATGCTAACTTGATTCACATCACCCTTTGTTCATCCGTTTTTCTTGATTAGTTGTCAAAATGTCAAATCAATATTGATAATGTGCTGCAGCAGTATAACTAATGATCATAATTAATAAAATAATAACAATTCATTAAAACCTCAATTAAAATCCAATTAGACTTTATTATATATTCAACAGCACAGGGGTTGTCTATCAAAGTTGGGGTTGAGGTCCATAAATGAATCATATAACTCAAAACTAAAGAGCAGCCATCAGTTATCTATGCATTTTTTATATTAAACAAAAAAGTATATAATTATAACGTATTATTCATTATGTAGGGGAGTAAAATTAGATTTGCAAAACATTCTATCTATGCTGCAGTTGAGTAAAAGCACCAGACTGTTGCAAATCCACAATAATAATAATAATAATAGGCCTTTATAGCAGTGCCACTTCTTCTTGTATGTATACATTCATTTTTAGATAGCAATTTTATATCTCTTCTGCAGCAAAAACTGATAAACTATAACCAGGTAGTAGTGGTTCGTTTTATTATTCTTATTTTTATTTTTATTTTGATTCAAGTACATTTTGACTTGCCAATAGGACGCACTTAAGGTTCTTTTTTTAAGGGCAGTAGATTTTTTTTTTTCATTGCAAGTGAGAATTTAAAAGTTTTACATTATTTTTGTCCCATTGGCAAATACTGTCAAAAAATTTCAAAATGTCCTAAAAATCAGGATAAATCTAACCTATTTTTTTGCTTATCTGTTTGCAGTGAAATTCATAACTAAAAAACTGCTCAGCAAGTTCCAAAAATAAGAAATACAATGTTGATCATCTAAATTCTTCAAATGTTTCCTCTTATCCCAGACTGGAACCAGACTTCTTATGGATCTCTCGCACCAAAGGATAAAGATGAATCCGACATGATTTTACCCATCGTCCTCCAGCACCTGTGTCCGCCCTACATTTCCTTTTTTGGATTGGGGGCGGTCTCAGCAGCGGTGATGTCGTCTGCAGACTCATCCATCCTCTCCGCCAGCTCCATGTTCGCCAGGAATATCTATCAACAGACCTTTCGACAGTTGGTAAGCACCAACAATGATACCAATGCAGCCTGCTACAACAGTTAGTGAAAAGTCTGAGAAAGAATCAATAAATCCATTTCCGTTTTCTGCTCTGTAATTTAAAAGTTTGTCTGTTGTGGTCTGGAAACAGTGAGGAATGTAATCAAAAGTGTGTGGGTTATTTGACTTTTGGGGTCATATCTGGCGTTTCAAAGATATCTTGATTGCTTTTCTCAACTTAAAGGCACACCGCGGACTTTGTGACCTAAAGAGTTGACACATATGAGTTATTTTATATGAATACTTGGGCCAATATACAGCGCTTGACACTTGCAATGCTCCGAGCGGGGCTGCCCTCTTGAAATACCGCCCATGTAAGTTTCGAGCAGACGGACCGTCTGCCACCAGGTCACGTGACTTGGAAGAAAGATATGCTTTACGGCTACAGGCGCTGATATACTCATGGAGCTAAGGCTTTTGCTACTCATTTTTCACCTGCTCGACTCCTGGTCATGGCTGAGGCAAGGAAAAATTTTAAACCTTCGGAGGAGGCTAAAAAGAGGAAACGCGAAAGGGATCGTGCTGTAAGCTGCATGTCTGTATGAGCGCTGCTCTTCACCTGGTTCCTGGATGTCATCGACTGCAAAGATGTCATTCCACGCAGCACGAGCTAGACGCAGAACTCCCTCATCCAGGATATAGAAGTCCATGTGTGGTAGATTACTAATGCAGCGGTCTGGAGGCTGACCACAGCAGAGTCTCTCAATATCTGTAGGCATGTCTCTACAGTTTGAACACACACACCAGTGCATGCTGTCTGAATACACACTCAAAAGACACCGGCTGACTGTTTGTTGACTTTTGCGACAGTGCTGAGTTGCTTGTGGCCACTAGGGGCGCTAAACGTGAAAGTTGCAGGTCTAGCGCCCCTAGTGGCCAAGAGTTACACGGTGTGCCTTTAAAGGAGCAGTTTGTAAAATTCTGGCCAAAAGTGGTACTGCACTCTCCCTGACTCAGGTTGCCAGATATGCAGATGAATCAATCTGGGGCCAATATTTGAATGAATATTAATTTTGTCAATAACAAATCTATAACCAACACCTTTTTCACAAAGACAGAAATCCTGGTTTTATTCCTTGTTTTGTTGTTAATGATTTGAGAATCATAACGAGACCTTGTTTAGTTCTGCGGCCACATGGTACTTTACCAGTGAAATTAGCTTGATGCGGTGAGTTCTGGTGCCCGGATTGCAGACTTTCTGAATGGTAAAACGATGGAGGGCGGGATATCGAAATGAAAACAATAACAAGATTAACAATAACAATATCTCTGAACTACTGTTATCAGTTAAAAAAGTGTTCAAAAAGAGCATGTTTTATTAATGCCTTTTGACAGATTAGGGCCCTTTAATGATGACTTTAAATCTTACATGTTGCTACTTTAAAGCTGGCGTACCTGACGTAACTTTTCCCTTAAGCTGTTTGTTCCAACAGAAAAATATGACCCAGACCACAACATGCTTTCTTCAACTTAATAAAACATATGTTATATTTTGCATACTTGAGTCACTGTTACAGTAGATGATTTGGGCAGAGAACTGACTGGTTGAGTGAAAGTGGGCCTCTCTTCCTCCCTTTTCTGTCTGGAAAAGCTGATCTAAAGATGAGTCAGAGCCCTCTACATGATCCAAACAGACCTGGTCGTTAACCGGGACTGTGCCAGGTCTAAACTTATAATAGAAGGATAAGAAAAGAGTACCACAAACTCAAGTTCAAGTAACTTTATTGATCGGTGAGGAACTTCATCTGTAGAAGGAAAGCCAGTGGGGATCCATAAAAACACAAATATATTCATCAATAAGCTTGTCTAAATCAGTTTGAGACAGCCAGTATTTCATTTTTGATAATGACACTACTCTGGCCGTAGATCAGGAATGTCCAAACTATGGCCCCAGGTAAAATTGAGGTCCTCCAAACATTTGTTTTTGGCCTTCAGACGACCTGCTCATTTTACTAGATAATCCGATCTCTAACAAGCCCAGAATATGATGTTTGTGAAGCAACACATTAGGACTTCGCTAATAATTTTTATGTTCCTGTTTGGAGCTTTGGACACCCTTGATCACTGAAATGCATTATTATTGTCTTTTTATTCATTCAGGCATCGGACAGTGAGATAGTTTGGGTGATGCGCTGCACAATCTTTGTCTTTGGAGCTGCTGCCACCGCCATGGCTTTGCTCACCGGATCCGTCTACGGCCTCTGGTACCTGAGCTCAGATCTGGTTTATGTCATCATCTTTCCACAACTCCTCTGTGTGTTGTTCGTCAAAGGGACAAACACATATGGCTCAGTTGCTGCTTATGTTTTTGGACTTTTGCTGCGCATCGGTGGAGGGGAACCCTACCTCAAACTTCCCCCATTCATCTACTACCCCGGGTGGGTTCAGCAAGAGAGGGTCCACCATCTCACTGGGGACGTGGAATATTTCATCCAGCAACGATTCCCATTCAAATCTATTTCCATGCTCGCGTCCCTGCTGGCTAACATTGCCTTTTCATATCTGACTAAATATCTATTTGAAAGCGGCATGCTGTCTCACAAGTATGACTTTTTGGATGCGGTGGTGTCCAAGCATAGCAAGGAAATTATGGACAAGGCTACGCTCGTTAGCAACCACGATAATATTACATTAGCGGAGATGGCACCGGTCAGACAAGTCCTGGGAGCGACGCTGGCTGGGACTTTTACAAACAATGAGATACTGAGCGATGACGGCGAATCCAGTCCAGAACCTTTTCAAAATGAGAACTAACAGCGAAAGGAGATTGGTAAGAACTATAATGGAAACAGATGTATCCTTCAGGAAACTTGCTACTGCCACACTGGATCCAGAGAGACCCGAGTGACTCTACAAGTTTTTGCTTCATATTAAGGGAAAATCAATGGGAGAGGAGTTCAATGGGACTTTGCAAAACGCTGATTGATGGATGTTTTGAAAGATGGACTGTTCAGAATGGTGGGTAAGGAGAAAAGTGCAATATCTAATCAGAAAATGTGTGCGTCAATAATGTATATGTGTGTGAAGACCCCTGATCATAGCTTAAGGCTTATATTATTTTCTAAGATCTAACTTGCGTAGTAGACAATAGAGCAATAATGTTTTAAGGTACCGAGAGTTCACTGTGTAAATCTGACATTTTTACTTGAACATATTTTGTCTGTTCGTTAGTTAAGTGGTGTCTTTGACTGTACCTGCAAATTGTCGTCCTTCACTTTTTTGCCAAGATCCAGAGCTGCTTGTAAATTTGCCAAGAGAAAGATCATGACCCAGCGCATCACTCACACTACTAATGAATTAACTTCCTTTACAAAGTAATTCACTCAATGAGGAAACGTCTACAAAGCCATTGCAGGAAAAGTAACAGCAGAGCCCTCCTTAAAACACCCGATAACGTCTCAGTCCATATCAGCATAAATAGTTCTGTTTGAGATGGCAGTGCACTTAAGAAAGGTCTCTAAGAAATTATCTAGTTTTCTGAAGCTTGTCCGCAGCCTTTTATTCCAATTGGTCAAAGAGAACGACCCCTTTGTTTGGATGAAAATGATGATTCGATAAGGGAATAGTTAAATGGACTGTGTGTTGCCTGGCCTGCCAGACACTCCTCCTTTCTGTTCAAAAGAAGAATATATGTCTTTGAAAAAGCATATCGTTTGGCAGGCCAGGCAAGACTGTGTGTAATTAGTAGAATAACAAAGTCATTACGAATACAATCCAACTTTTATTGCCATAATCTTCCTGCCATGTGACACACAACTCCTAAGCAAGAATTTGTGTATCAAACCACCTAGAAAGATAAATAGATCGATAGATACTTTATTGATCACCGTAGGAGAAATGCAGGTGTCCAGTAGCAGCAAAAATAAAACATAAAACTGATCATTCTAAAAAGCTAACGATAGTAATAATCAGTAACCTGCTAGAGTTTAAGCGAGAAATGGGAGACAGCTCATTTTTACACCAGCTTTCATTTAAACAGTTGTGCAGTGCTATTTTTGGTGAATTTTATTGTTTTATCTAACCAGGTAAATTTCACCTAACAAACTGGCAACACAAACGAGAGCCTCTTTCTGCTCTCTCATTGGATAAGCTGCTTAAAAAATGTATACATAATTATAATGGAAATTGTATCCAGTGTATTTTAATTGGAAAAACATTTATCAAATTTGATCAGAAAAAGGTAAAATATGATGTGAACAATCTTTGTCTGTGACCACACGTAGAAGATGTAGGTGTAATTTAAAATAAAAATATTAAATACAGTCCCTTATAATAAGTTAAATATTTACACAATATGTTCTGCAATATGTTATAGTAGCATACCAACGTACACATTTTTATAGTGTGTATACCTTCATTGGCAGACTGGTTTCCCACTATATCAACTCTTTAAACCAGGTATGTCCAAACTAAGGGCCGGGGGCCAATTGTAGCCCTCTGCGTTATGACATGTGGCCCTCTGCCACCAGAGGTTCACAGAGTCACCCAACTTCAGCTCCACCATTATAGACATGTTGTATCTCTCATTGTAAAGCTCACACCCTTTGGAACTCAGTCTTAATTTTATTTGTATATACTCCATCCATCCATCCATCCATCCATTTTCTTCCCCTTAATCCATTTCTGGGTCGGGGGGTGGCAGTCAGCGCTTCACCCAGTACAAATAGCACCAGCCCCACACTGAACCTCCAGGAGCCTATTTTTGTATATTGAGTTCCATAATTCCAAATATAATGTAGCTGTGTCATATGTGAATCTATTTGGACTTATCATTCCTCATTTTAAAACTCAGAAAAGCCTGATCCAGTCCAAGCTCTTATACTATCTGCCTTGTCAACTGCAATGGCCCTATTACTAAAAAGTTTGGACACCCCTGATTTAAACTCAAAATAAATGACACATGGTTTTACATTTCTGGATTGTTGAAAGAGTAGGTCTTTATAATAGTTTGTTTCTTGTCTTAAACCTTTTATTGAGCGCAGTCTAGGTTTGAGGAGACAGGAAATGAGCGTGTTCCAGGGGCTGGTCAGTATTGATCTGGTCCTGGATTAGCCCTCAGGACATTTGATTAACGCTGCTGCCATGGTCATTTTCCTTCTACTGTACACAGATAGAAGTCAGTACTCAGTGTATGAAACTCTGGCCAGAAACTTCTCTCTATGTTGTCTTGGCTCATCTGTCGTTTGTCGGAGTCAAATCAAGTCAGTTTCAGAATCCATGCCTTAAACCAATCGTCAGCATTTATATGTAAAATATCAAAGACTATGTTACATCCTTATCATTTTGTAACATTTAGCTTATGTCCAATTTCCAAATATGGTGAACTTTGCCCGGTGCATTTATTACATGTTATTCACACAATGTCAGCACTTTTTGTTTGGTCGATAGTATGGTAATTCTAAAAACATGTTTTCTAAAAGGGTTCTCTGTGGTAGGGCTGCACAATATGGGATATGATTTTGATTATATGTATTTTACTTTTTGTCAGATATTATAATAAACCAAAATATATATGCATTCATTTACAACTTACACAGGGACTGAACTTAGACTGAGTAAAGGCAAATATTGTATGGATGAAATCATCGATAAGTCAAAATTGTTGTCACATTTTAAAACCACTTAACTAGTTTAAACCCAGTATTTTTGTGTCATTCTGACATAATTAGTTAAAATATGACTATATTGTGCAGCCCTTTTCTATTCTGTCACACAAGTTTAATAAATGCGTTGGCTGAACAGTGTCAGCTGATCTTATCAAAGTGAATGTGAATGTAAAACTCTCTGAAATCACTCTAGTGTGACTGATGTGTCCGTGGCTCTGTGTTGTAAAATGCAATGTATTTTTTGTGCGATACTTGTACTGTACATATACCAAAAAGCATAGAAACTAGTCTTATTTTAAATGCAGCATTGAGAAATGTTTAAATGAGCTATTTATTTAACATGTCTATAAGAGTATATAGTGGTAAACATGTGAGTTAAATAAATTATATTATTTAGCAGCCGTTGTTTCTTGTGTTAATATTAAATTTGTGGCATACATATTACCCATAGACTGTACATGATAACGGACGTGGTCACTCCTATTTCCGCCGTTCAAACTAATGTGACATCACTTTTGGGCAGTTTCAAATAGGGCCTCGGGGGCTAGTAAATGTGAAAAAACGCATCTGCGCATACGTCAGCCGACACGAGCCCCATTCATTTGATGAGTGCCTCCAAAATGTCACAGCGACTAAACTAGACTGGTCCAAAAAAAATACACTCAGCATTGACACACATGTGGAACCAATACTTGGACCAAGAGCCGACTTTTGGACCATCCTGTAAAGACGTTTTTGAGAGGTCGGAAGATACGCACATTAGCATTGAATAATTCTTATTCTGGGTCCACCCCCCACTGGCCCGGGGTGGTATTGCAGCATGTCAGCGCACGTTATTTTGGACATTTTTGAGCCGGGACCTGACCCCACTGGTAATACCGTGCAATGAGATTTGTTTCCCAGTGACATTTTAAAGGAAGCGGGAGATTGACAGCGGTGACAGCAGTGACAGTTATAAGATACAGAGGAGGCTGCTTTGATTGACGCGTCCAAACAGGAGCTTAAACAATCAGCTTTATACCATTCAACCCATGGGCATAAGTGAAAACCTGTGGGTGGTTTTATTTCAAATGGCTTATTTATTTAGACAGTTGTACTCATAAGCTTACGCACACTGGAATCATTTACTATTAAAATTTTACAGAGAAGAAGAATCAAACAGAAAGTACCCAAATTATCAAAATAAAAAGTTTTCATTTGTGGGTTTTGGACTCACAAGTCGACGCATGCAGGTTTAAACGGGACTAAAGAAAGTTAACCTTGGCAAAAAATAGCTTAAAAAACCACTAACCATGAGAGGATGCGTCTCTCTTACGAATGGAAAAATGGCCAATAAATTAGCAATGATCAAATCTCAAAGGAAACTTTAACTCATGAGCAAAATCTAAATATAAAACTAAAAATTAAAGTGTTTTATTAGAAGAAATCAAAACATTGAGTTAGTGTTAGTGCTTGTGCTTCACAGTACAAAGGTCTTTGATTCCACTTCCCGTGTGCTCCCGTTGTCTGCATAGGTCTCCTCCGGGTGCTCCGGTTTCCCCTATCACTAAAAATGTCATGCACAATAGATCTGAATGTAAGGAGTGAGTGAACAGAGGGTGATGGTCAGAGACTTTGATGCTCCAGAGTGTTTGGTATCTCGCTATCTGTCATCACTGTGACTGATGGGAATGGAAAACATCTGTATGTGCTACTGTATATATATTAAGATGACTCACTACCTTACATTTTATTCTCCATAGATTGCGCAATAAATTGGTTTTATTGGTGAATACAAAAACAAAAACCCTGAAAAATGGTCTAATTGATTACATATATTTATTGCGGAAAATTCAGGACAATACCAAAAACCCTAGAGAAAACCTGTGTGCACTTTTTTATGAGACAAGCAGGCAATTGGCCCCTCGACCGTAAACATATTTTTTCATTAAGGATTAAAGCTACGTCAAATTATGAACGTGTCAAAGCAAAAATAGAGGTTCTGTCATGAAAGAAAACGACGGACCATAATACTGTGACTTTACATCGAGAACAAATGTGGAAAAGAGAGAAATGAACATGAGTCAAATGAACATGAGTCAAATGAACATGCCGAGATTTGTGGTTCTATTTGTATGTCCCCATCCCATACGTACATTTATAACACCG